CTAACCCGCCAAAACGGGGCGGGTTGGGTTAAGGTTTTCAACCCACCTCGACCCGCCCCGCCTAGAAGTGGGTCAAAACGGGTTCAACCCGCCGCAGGGCGGGTTGACCCGCCGGGTTATAATTTTTTTTCTTCTTTACAATTAGGTAGTATTTCATTAGTCCTTAAATTTTTGTGATATTCAAAAATAAAAATTCTTAGTACTTCCTAAAAAAATAAAGAATAACAATTTTATTTATGACAAATGTCTATATATAAACTCCTAAAGAATGTTTGACACATATTAGTATACATTTAAGATTAAGACTAAAAAAATAGAGAAATATAAAATAAAATAAAATAACATTAGAAAAATTCATAAAATATAATTTATTTTTTAATTTTAATTAATTTATTTGTAATTGACGAGTTGGTGGGTTGACCCACCAACCCGCCATAAAACGAGATGAGTTCATTTTTTCAACCCATATTTTTTGGCGGGTCAACCCGCCCCTTCCGTTTTTGCCAGGTTGGTGGTGGGGCAGGGCGGATCGGGACGAATCAACCCAAATTGCCACCACTAGTGGTTTGGGGGTGTTTTAAAACCCCACCCCACCCCCCGGGTTGACCCGGGTCAACCCTGACCCCTCTCCTCTAAGGGTTCGAGTCTCAAGTTGGACCCTATATGCACATCAACCCCTCCGACCCCCAAAACCCCCCCGGGTTTCAGTGACTCCCGGGTCAGAGGAGTCAAAGGGGGTCATTGCGTATTTTTTTTTTAAAAGAAAATTGCTTAAAACAACGTCGTTTTTTACAACAACAAAAAAATCTTTGAAACCTAAATCTATCGTTCTCTGATTCTCTTCTCTCCCAGCCAGACGGATAGTCGTCTTCATCCTTCACTCACCGTTGTGAATCGCTCAAGTCAAGGACGTGGGGATAAAGGAAAGAGGTAAACTACGAAATCCATTTTACAGAATCGCTGTTGCTTAAAACTATGAATCGTTGTTCCTCTTCCCTTTGTACTTCGGTTAATGCTGTTCCTTTTTTATAGTGATAACATTTTTGATAGGCATCAAGCAGCAACTAATTAATTAATTGGCACAAAGTAAGTAGTTGTTAAATCTCAAATTTTTATTTTTTTGTGGGGATTTTTTATTATAAATTTTCATTCCAATGTGGAGGGGTTATTTTAGAGATAAAAATTCCAGCACCTTTAACTATTTGTTTCTCTACTTAGTTACATGACTTAATTGAGATATTCTCAAGCCGTGGATTGTATTAATCAGAAGGGATTTTGTGTTCATGCAGGAAACAAAAACAGAGATCACAAACTGTCACCGCTTAAGTTGTACCTGTTGTTGCCTTTGTTGGGTTGCTGATCTTTATTTGCATTTATTTAAGAGTCAGGAAGTCGACTAAACATTTTGAGAGTAAGTCCAGATGTTTATTCATTGCTTTAGTATAGAAAAGAAAAAATTAAATAAACCTATAGGCTATAAGCCCACTTGTCCTCTGTTTTATTCTGTTAAGCATCACGTAGCAAGTCTTTGGACAACCATGGAATGATGAGAATGCAGCATATATGAATGTAATTGTAATATAACTTTTAGGAATTAAATTAAAAATAAAATATGTGACCAGCCAAGGCTATGTCTTTCCATCGTGCCTGTATAACTGTTTATGTTATTGATGATTTGATGTGGATTAATTTTCAGCAAGATGTCATCTAATGAACTTAATTCAACACCAACTGAAGATGTGTCGTCCCAAAATTCCTCCAAACCAAATTGTAGGGGAAAGCAAGATCCAAGTTGGGGTCATTGTAGACAGGTTATGGAGAATGGAAAAACTTTTTTAGTATGCCAGTATTGTAACAAGACTCTTAAAGGAGGTGGTATTAATCGGTTAAAGAATCATTTGGCGGGAGAAAAAGGACATGTTGAGCCATGCAAGAGTGTGCCACCTGAGGTGCGGGCTGAAATGAAAAAAATTTAGATGAAGGTAAACAGAAAAAAAGAAAAGTCATACATGAAGAAGAAAGTGAAACTATTGAGCTTGGTGACCAAATAACACCTCCTGAAAAAAGTTCTTCCAACTCTGAAAAAGGGAAGAATCCCATAGGTTCTTATTTTCTTCAAAGAACAACTCCTGGATCTCAACCCACCGTAAAAAGCGTGTTACAGAGTAAAGAAGTGATTTGGAGAGCTCACAAATCTATATCAAAATGGATGATTATTTCTTCACTCCCATTTAATGCTGCCAACAATCCTTCTTTTCAAGAAATGTTTGATGCTGAGTGTAGTTTGGGTGCAGGTTTTAAAGCTCCATCAATGTATATGTTGCGTGGTCCATTGCTAGATAGTTGGGTTGATGATGTTCATAGTCTTGTTGAGAACTACCGTAATGTTTGGCGGCAAACTGGATGCACCATTATGGCTGATGGTTGGACTGATCGGACTAGGCGAACTCTTATCAACTTTCTTGTTTATTGTCCTAAAGGAACTGTTTTCTTGAAGTCTGTGGATGCCTCTCATGCTTCCAAAACTGCTGATTTGTTATTTAATCTGTTCAAAGAAATTGTTCTATTTGTTGGGCCTGAAAATGTTGTTCAATTTGTGACTGATAATGCTTCTAATTATGTTGCTGCTGGAAGGTTATTGGAGGCTGAGTTTCCCACAATATTTTGGTCTCCCTGTGCTGCTCATTGTATTAATCTGATGTTGCAAGATATTGGCAAGTTAGAGGAAGTGGGTGCAACCGTGGCACATGCTTCATCAATTACCAAGTACGTATATAACCATTGTCATCCTTTACACTTGATGAGAAAATTCACAGGTGGTAGAGAAATTCTTCGTCCAGCTCCAACTCGCTTTGCTACTAATTTTATTGCTTTGCAAAGCATATTAGCTCAAAAAGATCCATTAAGAGCAATGGTAACTTCAAGAGAGTGGACAAGTTCAGCATATTCTAAGGATTTGAAGGCTAGAAAATTTGTGGATTTAGTCTTAGATTCTAGGTTTTGGAAAGAATGTGCTGACATTGTGAAAGTTACTGAACCACTTATACGCTTGTTGCGTCTTGTTGATAGTGAAGACAAGCCTTCTATGGGTTATCTTTATCAAGCCTTTTTTAAAGCAAGAGAAGAGATGGTTAGACGGTTTCAAAGAAAGAAAAAGAAGGCGGAGCCGTACTTGAACATCCTGGATAGTCGGTGGGATACTCAGCTTCGTAAAAAGTTGCATGCTGCGGGATATTGGTTAAATCCAGCATGTCATTTCAATGTTGAAGAATTCAATAAACATGCATTGACAACTTCTGGTCTTTTAGATGTTATAGAGAGGTATGCTCATAAGGATGAGGAATTATTGTCCAAGTTAACATCTGAGCTGAGAACTTTCAATGAATCTGATGGTGATTTTGGAAGGAACATAGCTATTCGGGAACGAACTAAAGTTATGCCTGGTAAAATAATTTATGATTAGTATGTACCTTTAATTCTTGTTATAGTTGAATGATTGAATACTAATATATTTTATTGCTTACAATGTTTCAGATAAATGGTGGGAACTTTATGGTTTTGGTGCACCAAACTTGAGAAAATTGGCTATTCGTATCTTAAGCCAAACTTGTAGTGCTTCCGGTTGTGAGCGAAATTGGAGTGCATTTGAGCAGATCCATTCAAATAGGAGAAATCGGTTAGAGCATAAAAGGTTGAATGATCTTGTATATGTTCGATACAACCTAAGACTACAACAAAGGTATTATAATTTATACGTACATATTTCCAAAAATTTGTTTATTTTCTTTTAGACAAATATATGTTTATATTTGTTGATGTTGAATATTGGAAAAAATAGGAATCAATTGAAGCACCAAAATTATGACCCAATTAATTTGGAAACAATGGATGATCATTCTACTAGTTGGGTTTTTGAGGAGTCACCACCATTATTAACCGATGAAGAGGCAAGATATTTGAGGAATAATACCATTGAACCAATTGTAGATGGTATTGGTATGTTTCTTTATGATAATTCTATTGTTTAATTTGATGATTTGATCACGTTATATTATTTATTGACTTGCATATAATATGTTATTGTAGATGAATTGAATTTAGATGAGGATGATGTAGATGATGAACCTCATATGACTATTGTACCCCAAAATGAAAGCAATGTTCTTCAAGGTTTGGATGGCAATGGTGGAGAAAGACAAGGAGAGCCTGAATTTGATGATATTACTTTTAATTAACTCCATTAGAATATGAGTTTTGTACTTTGGTATATTGATACTTTAATTAGGTTGTGTAATATTGACTTATGGTTGTAATTGGTGAATTATGTTAACTATATTTTGAATCTTTGATGATTGGTGGTTTATTTTTTAATATTTTCATATATGATATATGTATTTATATTTTTTTAACATACAAAACCGGGTCAGCGCAGTGACCCCGTGACCCCCCGGTTGAACCCGTGACCCCATGACCCCTGACCTCGGCCGGGCCGGGTTTTTAAACACTGGTACTTTGGGCTATGCCCTCCTTTTTTTACTTTAAGAAAAAAAAAATCAACTTATAAATTCTTCCTTCTTCATTTGCGATTTCTTAGATTCATTAACTTCTATTTACATAGGAAAAATATGTTGAAAAAAGAAATGGTATAACAACTTGATAATAAAGATTTAATTATGAATTATGAATGTAAGAAAGTTTTAAAAAAAAATTGATAATTTTTTTTTCATTTATTTCAATAAAAAGACATCATTTTCTATTTAGCTTTAGCTTCTGAAGATTATTGAGCCGCACATGATAAATTACATCCACTCCCTCATTTAATTGAAAGATGGAAGATAATTAGGCTACAAATTTGAGTTCCCCCAATGATCTAACAGATAATTGCGAAATCAGCGAGGTGAGGTTAATTTTTCAGAAACTAAATTGGTGATTTATTGAATATTTTAATCAGAGTAATATTTGTACGCACAAAAAAGAAGAAGTTATTTTACTATTCATCAACTTCACATTATAAACTCAGGTTACACCCACTTTAACAAGGCCAAGATGACAAATTCTCAAAATAGCAACAAATTTTTTCCTGATACAAAAGTAGGAACAATACTGTGAAAAAGCGTCTAATTACAGGACATATATTAATATATCTCACAAGGAAATGATCTTCCTATGTGTATGTAAGTGCTCTCCAACCGAACCTAGTTCTCCATGATCATGATCATGAAAAATTAGGGTCAAGAGTCCTACTAAACACAGCACTGAACCAACAAGAAGTTTGTCATAGCGCTCCACCCAGTGAAACTTCAGCTGACTCGCCCCATAAAATGACAATGCTACTAGCGAAGTCATCACAGTTATTGTGCTGTAAATGCAATATGTGTGAAGCTTGGTAACACTAATTAATCTCCACAAAAACAAAAAACTTTCACAAACTTAATTGGCATCTAAACCAAACTAGCATCAAGCCAGAGTATATTATATAGTATATTTAATTAGTTTGAACTTTGAATTGTATATTCCTGTCCCGAAAGTCAAAACACATTTTCATGATCATGAAGTGAAACATTTCTTAGGGGCCATTGCTTAATTCAATTTTATGGCCAACATCAGAATTTCTAATCTTGATAAGTGATAACCACTGACACTTATAGAAATAAATAATATATGACTTTAAATAATCATAGGCAAACACAGAACCACCACACATGCACATGAAAAGCAGAAGCAAATTTTGCACATTTTAAAAAGAAGCTGGAAAAAAAAATCTTAGCATTCAATGCAGTTGACTAATACCTGAATAGCAGCACTATGATTGCAAGCACCATCATGGAAGATGAATTTCCAACAGCAAGAAATACTGGAAGTGTTGTAGCACAAGGAGACAATGCAGGAACAAGAATAAGCCCGGCTACAGCCATTTTCTCCATGGGTTGGTTGTGCGAATGACTATGGCCACCCTTTCCCATCAGAAACAACAGAACATAACTACCACCAAGAAATACGAGCAGAAGTGAAGCAAGCTTATGCACAGTTTCTTCACCAGCAATGGTGTTTGCCATGGTAATTGCTGTTATACCAAGCAGCGAAGTGGATATTACATGTAAAATTGCTCCAAATGCAGCTGCAGGAAGAAAATAAAGTTAAAAAACTCTACTAAGACAATCCTAGAACAATCTTCTGAAGATGAGTCTTTGTACTTGAAAAACGCTACAATAAAGGATAAAGGCAAACCCCTATGCATAAGGATCCCCAACTTTGCAAGAATAGGGGTGAGGGCCAATTTTGCGCAATCTTACCCTTGCAATTTTACTAAAACATGGTTTTCCAGAACATCAAACACTAAAATAAGTGCTGGAATAGTTTATTCACATCCTTGTTTTCCGTAGTTGAGTTAATAGTGCAAGAAGCAAGGATACCACCAAGCTAATAGCTTCATCATTAAATTTCCCTAGATAAATCTCAGCTGAGGCTATCAATTAAATTTAAAGACATTTAACAAGGGAAAATCCTTTGGAAAGGAAAAAAACTGAAGCTTATAAAGCTTCTGCTTTCTAAAATAAACTAAAAATTTATGTTATAGTATGTTATGTTCAGATATTAGATGTATTTGGGGGTTGAGAACCCATTTTCCATCTATTATATTTACAACTAGTCCTTGAACATGTCAAGAACAGGTTTTCAAGTCATTGAAGAGCAATGGTCCAGCATCAAATGCAGCCCTCGGCTAAAATAAAACGCTATCAAAATGTTCTACGAAGGATATATATGGTTCCATCAAATATAAACATATCACAACAAAAATTTACTAGTTCATACCAATCTGGACAACATTGACACGAATGATTGATGGGCCAATTAAATTTATATTTATATACTCCAGTATTTGCACCAAGCTTCACTCTCTACATCTTTCAACTGATGCCTCTGACTATAAATGATAATTATAATGCCATAACAGAACTTAATCTTCCATTGCAGTTTCTTTTTCAGAAAATATGTATTCAGCTACGTGACCATGAGTAACAAATAATTGAGCACAATAATGTACCAAAACAAACAATATGATCCCATTTTATCACCAACTTGAGTAGTTAAAAAAACAAGAGTAAACACCATTTTTTGTCGCTGGCAATATCTAAGAAATCTTTTTTAGTCCCGGACAATCAAAAAGGACCAAATTGGTCCCTAAAATTATGAGAAAAAGGGCCACATTAATCCTTATGTCAACTCCTCCGTCACTAACGTGGCCCTTTTTTCATACTGTTAGGGACCAATTTGGTCCTTTTTTATTGCCAGGGACTAAAAAGGATTTCGTAGATACTATCAGGGACCAAAAAGGGGTGTTTACTCAAAAAACAAACAAAATGCTATCATCCACCATCTAAAGTTTCAAGATTTTGTATTATACTTGACCTTTCGCTTTAAGACATTTCTTCAGAAAACTGAGATGTCAAGCTTAAGATTTCGGTATTCACAGGATTCACGGAAATTAATTGTCTAGAATGCAAATCATAGAGCTGCATAGATTAGCCAGAAAAGGAACAATAGATTTGTCTCATCAGTTCAACACTGATAAATTCTTCTAGTTATAGATCCGTGATTATTTGGCAAGTCAAGAACTGACTCAGTTGTTGAATAAAAACTAAGATCCAATGGAATATTACTGACGGGAGTTAAATATCCATTAAATATAAGATGAAATATTATTTTTCTTTTCTCATTCATTTTACTTATACTCAAACAAGCATCCCCTGCAATAGAACAAAGCTGAAGAAAACCATAATTCCCGAAACCTTTTGAAGATTCACACATGATCCATTACCCAAAAATAAAAATAAACAAATGTAACTTCAAACAAGTTGAAATGTCAGTGATTTAAACTTCCAAGATTTAATTTTTCTGTTATTTCAGAGGGTATTGTGGGTACCCAGAAAGCTGAAACAAGATTTCAAAGAAGAGGGGATCTAAGAATGAAATCGAAATACGTACTAACGAGGAGTGTTCTGGAGAGAGTCCATTTCTGGGCACGACCCACGATGGAGAAAGGAAGCCAATGTGTGGGAATGAAGGAATGCAGAAGCGACACGGTGGCGATTCCTCCGATTGTGGAGAGATCTTCGGCGGTGAAACTATTCATTATTACCCACCCAAAACAAAATTTGGACAAATTATGGGTGAGATCTATGAATTGAAATCTGCATCTGCAAATCCTGTTAGAATCCAAAAGGGTAGCTTCAGATTACCATAAATTTGGAGATAATATAATATAAATGGAGAAAATATAAAAGAAAAAGTTACAGAGTAAATTGTCCAGGATTTGTTGATTGCTAGTGGGGCAGAAGAAAGAACATTCGATAATTCACTTTTGTACCAAAAGGTGAAAATGTAAAAAATAAAAATAAAAATAATATAAGAATAAAAAATCTTGAACTAATTCTCAATTGTTAATTCTACTTACTTGCGATAAATAATTTTAATTTATTAATTACATGATTAAAATAATTTTGTTTTATAAATATAAATATGTAAGATTAGGGGAGATAAAATTATTATTTTTTAGTCTAAAACAATATTGAGGATTTTTTTTAATTTTAATTTATTTTAAAATTATATTAATAATATTTTTTTTGAATTTATTCATCACTTCATTGATTACTCGATTAATCAATTCAAATATTATGTGATCCAATATAGGGGCATTCTTTTAAAATTATTTTTTTCATTTTTAGAACTCGACTCAAAATCTCAAATTAAAGAAAACAAATTTTTTATCACTTTAAATAAATAATTGTCGGTAAAGATAATTCTTTTCAACCTTAATTTGGAATCTTGCAAGAAGAGAAACACTTAATCATATATAAAAAAACAAAGTTGTTGCTTCCACTCTTGAGAAAGCCAGGAAGATTAGTAAAATAAAAATAAAGAACAGAAAGGCTTATCGTGGAATAAAAATAACATAAATATAATGTTTTTTTTTCTGGGTGCATGGTCCCACTATATATTAGGGTTAATAATATATGAATTCTATTTTTTTCTAATTTTTTTATTTTATTTTGTCTCATTTTTAGTAAAACGATATTTACTCCTATAACAGCGAAAATATGCTCCGTCTTTTTCTTACAGGTAAGGGATTAAAAAATTCACTTGTTACAGAACTAGGAATAATTGATCTAGTCGTGAGCGATTTGGATGATTTATATTAGGTTATGATTTAATTCTTATATAAAAAAAAATGAAGTGATAAAAGTAAGATGATTTTCATATAAAAGATTCGTAAAGAGTTAGGGGCAGGAAAATTTACTTTACTTTTTGTACATATTAACTTTTCTTAAATGTATAGACTGTTTTGAAAGGAAATTGCTCACAGCAGCAATCAAACTTAAGTTTAATAGGTGAAGTATTTTAAGAACAGCTTAATTTGAGATTATAGATTAAAATATGATTATTTTATTTATTTTATTCCAGAGTTATTTCTGGAAGTCTGGAATTAAGGCCATAAACGTCCTAAACCTGGTGGGCTTCAAACTGTTGATAAGTTGCTCGGCCCGTTTGGTGTCAAAACTATCTCCTTGGAGAGCAGATATCTTCAATTTTACTTCAGAAAACTGTCTCACAATGAGTTTGTTATAAATTGTTGAAGTTGAGTCTGCTATTTAAACACCTAATCAGATCTTTTGAGGTTAAACCCTTTATTTCATGGAGTAAATTAGTAATAACTTGGTCTGTAGCTTTATGGATTTTAACCCTCTAGCCATTGAGTGAGATTAACTTATCATGTTACAATTTACTAATAATTTTTAATGTATATATAATCATTTTTCCTTATAATCACTTTTATTATTGTTAGATTAAAATCAAATTAACGACTCTCGCTTAATATCATTTATAACCGTTGATTTAATTTTAATCTAACAATAATAAAATGATGGTAAGAAGTTATAAAAAAAAGTGTAAGTATAACTTACCCTAATTTTTATAGATAGCAGTCAATTGTGATTTTAAGTTAATTCAATCGATGATGCTTTCAAATTTATTAACTTACTAAAATGGATTCATGACGTTTCATACTCTATTAGGATTTTGACGAGAAAATTCGTTAAATTATGTTTATATATAATTACATTTCTTCAGCACTCTTGTACGTTGTCACTCTTCAGTTTGCCCTATTGACAGTCAATGAAAGAGAAATCAAAAGTTGTTGAGAAATATCCAATCTTTCAATCAGGGAGGTTGGCACAAGGATTTCTTAATTACTCCTACCATACCTTCATCAAGAAAGATATTTTCAATAGTGTAAATGTAATATAATTATCAATTTAATTCTTAAATATCTTCTCTCAAAAATTGTTTCAAAGGTATCCGTTAGCCGAAAGCCAACGATTAATACTATTGAGGCGAAAAAATCATGTGATCGTGGGTATAATTTTTTCCAATAAAGTATTTTTTATACACACGGTCATAAATCAAACCTCTGTTAATATGCTTATAGGACTTTGTTATCTACTAATTATGACGGACTTTGTTAGTCTTAAATATCTTCTTTCGGTCACCATTGACCCGAAAATCAGTGAACTAGTCCGATTTTTATATTGGACCGGCCATGTTACAGAACCGGTGTGATTCAGTGCAACCCGCCGATTTTCGTAAAAAGCGTTGACCAGATCCGGTTTGTAAAAAAAAAAGAAAAAAAAAACTAATTTATTTTCATCAATTGACGTCTCTTTTTTTTCACTCTCAAACACAAATAGTTTGTTTTCTTTTAAAATATTTGAGTGATTTGTAACTTAACTTACATAGATTATGTATCAATAATATTAATATTATCTTGGTTATATAATATGTAAGAAATTTTGATTTGATTTATAATTAGAAAACTCGTTTACTGAACCTGAAATACCAGTATCACAAATATTATATGTTTGATAGATCTTTTGTTAAATAATGATGTGTAATTTATTATTTTTCATATTAAAATATTTGTAATTAGTATATATTTTTGGAAAATACATCCCTCCTTTAACAGCAAAACAAAACTATATTCCTGCTGACCCATCGATAAGTGTGTAAGTATTTCTTTTATTTTTTAATTTTTGTTTGACAGTGGAGCCCACCAAAACTTGTGTCTGCAGGAATTTTATTTCTTTTGCGGTTAAAGAAGGGATGTATTTCTCTATATTTTTACAACATCGGATCGGGTTTAATAATATTGGTTAATACACTTTGGACATGTGATTCCGTATTGTCACGTACAAAAACGACGTAAGCTAATAAGTAAACCTAACACTTTCTCAATAGTAAAACTATAAACTGTCAAATTAATCGAGAACACATTTTTTTTTCCAGTTTTAAAATAAAGGCTCACTTGCCGATTAAGTGTGACGTTGGGATTTTCTATTAGGAATGTGAAGAAAAAAAAAATCAAAACAACCGAATTGGATTCGAATCGAATCAATTTGCACTTACATCTTATTTCCCATACTAATGAATTTATAATTCAATTGTAATAACTGACAAATTAATTGTCGTCATTAAATCAGTTTGAATTTAAAAAAATAGAAATTAAGCTCACATTGAATAACTAGTTTTTTTCATAGAAAAAAATAACATTTGGAGATTGAATGGCATTAATTCATCAAATGACATTCAATTGCATCTGACTTCGATGAATCCAGAAGGATCTGCGCAATTTCGGCATCTCATCTCATCAACGTCATCTATTAAGAGGGTAAATATCTTATGCTAGACTTTAACCTTAAATAAGTCAGATTTGTATAAAAAAACTTAATTTTAGTATGCTCTCCTAGTTTGCATAGGCCTAAATTACAAGTTTAATATATTTAAAAATACAAATCTTGATCTAAGTCTGTTAGTCTGTTTAATTTTATTAAAGATTTAATAATTAAAAAATAAAATAAAATAATATTACTTTTATTATTTAAAATTATTAAAATAATGATTCGATTTATTTTATTTAAAATAAATAATACAATATAAGTCGACCTGTGGACTTATACGTCCAACATATACAAAAAAAAATAAAAGTTTGTGGCCTGCTTTTTAAATAAATTTTTTTAAAAATTTAAATCTATTTTATTTGACTATTTATAATAAGTCAAACCTGACTTAATTTAGATTAGATGATAAACCCATATTGATCGAATTATTCCATTTACACCGGATGTCATTTGAGGAATTAATGCCATTCAATCTTCAAACGATATTTTTCCTAGCTGACTTTTCAAATTCAATCTGAACCCTGTTTCTTATAACAATAAATAATTATACTATTAATTCATTATTAAATTATAATTTAATTATTAAGAGATGATGAGATGGATGCAGGTGTCGCATCTCTGAGCTCCTTTCTCCTTTTAAATAATAATAAAGGGTGAACTAGCAAATATGGCAATGCATTCATTATCAATAAAACCAAAAAATATTTCACTCATCAAAATAGCCCCAAAAGGGCCAAAATAATAATAATAAATTCAGGTACCTGAATCTGAAGGGTGAACCATACCAAGTTACCAACCTAGTTTTGTGAGTTCAACAGAAGAAAAAAGAAATAGTAGTAGTGTTTGGTTCATTAGTCTCCATCTGACTTTTCTATATTAATTTTGCCTCAACTTTCAAAATTTGCATATTCTACGTTATTCCCCTCATCATGCACCACATTATATTACAAGGTCTTTAACCCAAAGTTTTCACTGGTCAACTCCCTTCACCTTTCTGCACTGAGACTAACACACTGTTTTGACTCATCTTTTGTTTTGGATCACCATGGAAGATAAACTAGCAAGAACAAGTGAAGGACAACCCATAAGATGTAAAGGTGTGCCACTTTTTTTATTTTTTATTTTCTTTTTGGAATAGCATTTTTAACAGTTTGAGAAGATTATATGTTTTTATATGTATGAATTAATACTAGTTGTTATGTTTTCTTTGCTTATATTAGCGGCGGTATGTCGCAAACCAGGTGAGCCACTGATTATTGAGGAGATCATTGTTGCGCCCCCAATGCCTCGTGAAGCCAGGATCCGTATTATATGTACCTCTCTCTGTCACAGCGATATCACTTTTTGGAAGATGCAGGTTCCCTTCATTTTCTATCTCTTTATATGGTTTTATTTGATTTATAACATTTATCTTTAAATGCTCTTTTCTGTGTTTTGAAGGAGCCTCCTGGAATTTGTCCAAGAATTCTGGGTCATGAGGCAATTGGGTTAGTTTATGCATTTCACTATTCATTACTATCCCTTTTATGCTAAATTTGCAAGTTCATTTTTTTATTGGTAATTACCAAACCGTGTTCAAAGTCTTAATAGGCCTCACTTATCCTGTTTCGGCTTTGAACTTTTCACTAATCCTATTTTGTGTTTGAACTTTTCCACCTTTCCAGGAATTGGACTCTATTTATATGGTCTTTTTGTATCAACATAAACTTTTGTGCTTTAATTTATATGTTTACTGAAAATTTATTGTGGTCCCTACTAATTATAAATAATTGTTTCTAGTCCTAATTTTGGTGCCTGTTTCTATCGGAGCTGATGATGCTTTCCAAAAAAAATTTATGTGATCCAGGGTTGTGGAAAGTGTAGGAGAGGATGTAACTGAAGTCACAAAAGGAGATATGGTTATCCCAGTTTTCTTACCTGATTGTGGGGAGTGTATAGATTGCAAATCAACAAAGAGCAACTATTGTTCAAAGTTTCCTTTCCATGTGTCTCCTTGGATGCCTAGATATGCTAACACTAGATTCACGGATCTAAAAGGAGAGATCATACACCATTTCCTCTTTGTTTCTAGTTTTAGCGAGTACACTGTGGTTGACATTGCCAATCTAACCAAGATTGATCCGGCAATTCCTCCCAACAAAGCATGTCTCCTCAGTTGTGGTGTATCAACTGGTAATTTTGCCTCAACAATGCAATCATTAACTAAAAGATTGGAGAAAAACTATATCAATTGTAAACTATGGTCAGAATATTTGGTCATAAATAAATACAAGTTTGTTCTTAACATTTTAATTCACCACTCTGCAACATTCATTTTTAGGGGTAGGTGCTGCTTGGAGAACAGCAGGTGTGGAGCCAGGTTCTACAGTAGCTATTTTTGGGCTAGGATGTATTGGATTAGCTGTAAGGACTCAACATAGCTCTATTTTCTTTCTCTACTTTGTGGTTTTGTATACTGAAATTCCAATTACAATTGATTGGTTTTCTAGGTAGCTGAGGGAGCTAGACTTTGTGGAGCAACTAGGATTATAGGTGTGGATGTCAACCCAGAAAAATCTGAAATTGGTAATGTATTGTCTGTTTAATAACATGATATCAAGCATTAATTCAAATAATGGTCTTTTAATAAGTTTCTTTCGATGTCATTATTATGCTTAAATTATGTATTTGATTTCATGGGTTTGTTCCTCTCCTCTACATAGGAAAAAAGTTTGGACTCACAGACTTTATCCATGCTGGAGAATGTGAAAACAAATCTGTGAGCCAGGTCTACCCTCTTCAATGCACAAATCCTAATTTTTATTGAGATGACTTAAGTTCTGAAATTTCCTTCTTATATGTGCTTGTGGAGCAGGTTATCATAGAGATGACTGGTGGGGGAGCAGATTATTGCTTCGAATGTGTTGGTATGGCATCATTGGTGCATGAAGCATTTGCTTCTTGTAGAAAGGTCTCTCTCTCTCTCTCTAATTGTGCCCAAACAGAAATAATGTGATTAAAACAATAACTACAACATGATTTTTAGCAACCACCCCAGCACAAAGCTTGAAAATCCACTAAAAGCAGTAACAGTTTTCACTTGTGCTAACTAATTTGAAATTCCATATACTTAAATGAGAATGAAGTTTCTAGTGAAATAGAGACAGGCATGATTGCAATTTCCAATAATATTTGCTCAACCGATCCATACTTGTTGAAAGCATTAACTGGAAAATTGATTTTTTGCCTTCAGGGTTGGGGAAAAACAATTGTTTTAGGAGTGGACAAGCCAGGATCGAAGTTGAGCCTTAGCTCTAGTGAGGTCCTTGTTCAGGGGAAAAGTCTCATGGGGTCCTTATTTGGAGGACTGAAACCCAAGTCTCATGTCCCCATTCTCCTTAAACGCTACATGGACAAGGTACTGTGTGCAGTTTCTTTGATTTAATTTTTGAAGTCGATGCTCATTATCCCTTGTATTGATATATGTAGTTAAACTAGTAATAATTATGTAAAAATAGTAATGACAAAATACCAAGTTTTTGGGACTTTTTTTTTTAATTTTTTCTCCAATTATTAACAGGAACTGAAATTGGATGAGTTTGTCACACATGAAGTGGAGTTTAAGGACATCAATAAAGCTTTTGATTTATTGATTAAAGGACAGTGTCTTCGATGTGTCATTTGGATGGACAAATGATTCATTCTTGTATATGTAATTGTTGCGTTGGACCCTTGAATACGACATCAATATGTAAAATATCGGTAGTGCACTTTTCTGTTTTACTTGATGGGAACACATTCAATGTAATAAAGTTGCTATACGGTTGCCTTGCCTATGCAAAAGCAATTGATGCACCAGTAATTGTTATAGAAGTTGATGGTGCTCTTCAATCCTCCAAAGTATTTTAGTCTGTATTTCCCAGAAATAGCATTTATTTAGCATTTCCCATTTTATGTGTTTGCTAATCCGTTCAAGGAATATTATCAGATTTTCATATGAAAAACAAGCTTAGACCATCATCATCACAAAAAGAAAAAAGAAAAAAAGCATCAAGACAGCATTGATATCATTAATTTATCCGATTGAAAACCCAAAACAAGACCAAGGGAACGAGATCATAGAATCAAACCCTCCATTTGTCTTCCTACAACCTTACACCTCACCAAGCTCCCAATGGTATTCATCAAAAGCTTAGCATCATCCCACACTCTCCCACGTGCCAACTTCTTATACAAATAGCTCTCAAACGTCATGCGTTGCACGTGTTCATCTCCACACAGCTCCACCAAAGCCTCCCTGCCCGCGTTACTACCATAGAAAACCCTCTGCAACAAATCCAAAAACCTAAACGTGCTAACGTACTCCGCGTCCCACTCTTTCAGGTATTCCCTCCTAAGATCACACTCATCAATCATCCTCTCCCCACCCTCAGAGGCCTTTACGACGCCGTTTCCACACATCCGACCCGATTTCGCCGCAAAATAAATACCCTCACCCGAACACTTAGTAACGTAACCAGCAGCGTCCCCAACAAGCGCCACGCGTCCCCTGACCCGAACCGGACGCGGGTGCTCCGGAATCGGGTGGGCCTCCACTTTTATAACTTTCCCACCGTTGATCTTCGCCCTCACTCTTTCCCTGATCCCCCTCTGGTACAACTTAATATCCTGCTTCGACCGCACCGTACCAGTGCCCACTGCCACGTGGTCGCACTTGGGAAATACCCACCCGTAGAAATCTGGCGATACGTCGTCGCCTACGTACATCTCCGCGAGATTTTCGTAGTACGCCATTTTCTCGTCCGGTAATTTGATCCGCTCCTGGAACGCGATGGCGCAGGCGTATCCGCCGGCGCCGATCGACTTCGCGACGCGGCTGTTGGCTCCGTCTGCGCCGATCACCACGTCGACGGCGAGGGAACGCCGGGTGGAGTTGTTGATCGTGTAGTGAACGGTGTAGGGTGCGTTTGGCGAGGCGGGGAGATCGAGGCCGGTGACGAGGCCAGCGATGAGGTTGGCGCCGGCGGTCTGGGCGCGGGAACGGAGGAAGGAGTCGAGGACCTCGCGGCGGAGCATGGCGATGAACTCTTGGGGTTTTAGGGTTTTGCCGAAGTCGACGGCGATGTTGGAAGGGGAGAAGATTCGCATGCGGGTGACGTGGCGGTCGATGAGGTGGTGAGGAATGTCGAACTCTTCGAGCATGCAGAGGGGAATGGCGCCGCCACATGGCTTGGCGACTGACGGTGGGTTCCGCTCAAATAGGAAGGTCTCGACGCCGCCGACGGCTAATGCCTCCGCAGCGGATGAACCAGCCGGACCGCCGCCGATCACTGCCGCCCGGAGCTTGCGGCCGTTGATGGATGGGCGAGTGGATTTGGAGGCTGAAATGGTGAGGGATTGGAAGCGGGGTTTGGGCTTTGAGGTTGGAGTGGAGAGCAATGGCAAACATATTTGAATTTTGGCAGCCATGGAGAATGGTGAAGAATGAGATTTAGAGATTCAGGAGTTTTGGGTCAGTAATTGTGATCTAGGGTTTGCTTCCAATTTGAGCATTAAAGCAAGATAATTCTTTACATTTTCTTTACTCAAGTTGGCATCTTTTTCAATTTTCAAGTTCTAATTTACTATTGTTAATGCATGCTTTTCAGAGGACAAAACAAGGACAAAAGGTGGCAGCAATAAAACAGTTCTTGTCTTGTATTCTAAATATAAAAATGATTTCCAAAGCAAAACTAGCAGTAGCACCCACTTTCTTTATCTCTTTTGTACTCCATGCCATGGCACATGGGATTAGCTTATTTGCTTACGAATCGTTTACATCCACATGAGCAGTTGACACATTTGGGAGAGTTTTAGTGTGAGTTTGCTAACATCAAAGCTAGCTAGCTATACACTGTCAAGAGATATGCTCAAGCCTCAGGGATAAAAGCTAGACTTTCACTTTCACTTTCACTAATTCATGGATGGTGATAGGATTGCAAAGACCAGGGATTGGTTGGCCAGACCAGGCTGCATCAGCTAGGATGGAATTGACTGCTTCTGTAGGGTTGAGCAAATCCCACCAAACATGAGTTGAAGCTTCATCGCAGGCCATGTCCATTGAGATACACCCTATAATTGCACCGTTCAAACCAAGCCCGCAACATGCACTCTTTACGTCTTCAAAACCTGTATATATTTTGCATCTTTTTTCATCCTAGTATATATCTTCCACATGAAGTTATAAAGGGGGAAAAAAACACATACCATAAAACCTTGGTTTGTTGATAATCTCCATCATTCCCTTGTATACATCACAGAACACCATATGAGCATCAGGAAACTCCGTATTAAGCTTGGCTATACGTTCATCCATCAATCTATTGTATTCAAAGACAAACTCATTGACTTGTTCCACGCAACCGTTTCCATTATAATCTACGGCTGATGTGTGATTCTTCGACTCCCAGACTATACGTGGTGTGCATCCCAAAGGCAATATTCCCAAGCATATGATTTTCCTCGCATTTGCATCATAAAGATACCTCGCAGCATTTATCATTTGGTCGACCAAAATGGTAGCAAAATATGGGGCACCATGCTTGAACATTTGGCTGGAAGAGTTTTGTAGGAATAGATCAATGTAATCTTCTTTGCCAAAGGAGAGGAAAAAGATGGAAGATTTTGTGTATTGGAGAGCAGCGTCCTCGCTCAGCTGCAGTTGCAACAGCTGCATAGTCTCAGAAACTTGGCGTAGTTGTTGGTTCAGAGACTGATGGCTGTGGCTTCCCGGGTTCATTATTGTAGCCTGTGTTGACCCAAAGTTGAGACCACCAAGAACTTCCTCCATAGATCCATTTTGACCATAAAATGGTCGTATTGATGTCAATCCAATCTTCTCAGCTACAACAGTGATTTCATTACAGCAAATAATGTTAATTAACTTTGGTTCTATTCATGATAAATCAATGTGAAAAGTAAAGTTTTGCCATCATAAAACATTTTATAATCACTAAAAGAAGGTTTCTTTTATCCTATCATGAATGCAATGCTTCAAAATAATATATAACTTTCTGCATGGAGTGTGCCAACTATAGTCCGTATTTTCTTGCATGTGGGATTTCATCTGGTTTTGCCCAATTTCCGAGAATTAAAAATGCAGAGTGTAAAGAATCAAGAGAAGGAAAGAAGAGATAAAGGAAAGAGAAAGAAGAGTACCAAGAAGTTGAGGAAGAAGGGTGGCATCAGAGCCATTACATGGATACAGAGAGAGACGACCGTGAAGTAAAGGGTAGAAAAGAGTGTTGTCTCCACAATCAACCGAGGAATCCCCTAATATATACAATGCCGATTTATGTGAGCTATTTCTCTCATTAGCAGGTGCCTCAAAGTATTGCCCATGAACTATGCTGAATATGCGAATTAGCATAACAAATGCAGGAAGATAATGAATAACAAACCCTCTTCTTCTCATATTGTGATTTCCCTTTGTCCGCTCAAATTGCTTGAACTGGTTTGCTGCTATAATGTTGGTGTTACAGCTGAACCATTCAAGTAAAAGTGAGCGAGCTTGTTTGGTCCAAAATGGGACGAAGCGAATGATTTGTTTGGTTACACCAGGCTAAAAGTATGAAGTGTCGTACTTCGCAGCATTGATCGGATTTTCTAATGGAACAATAATTACGCAGAAAAATAATTTGAAAAAAGAAGTTGATAAGAATTTTTTTTTCTTGAACACTTTCCCATTTCATCATACTCATACATGAAAGAAAACAACTTCATTCATAACCTACTGTGCTGTCATTGGACAAAGTATGTTCTTTTTTTTTTTTTTTTTTTCAAAACACCTGTCATATTCTTCGCATTTCTCAACAACCTTCATCAGCAAAAGTTATGTTTTCATCCAATTTTTTTGTTACGGAAGGTAAGAACAAGAGAAAAATGACCGGTCATTGTGCTTTGTAGCAGTAAGAAACATAATGCTTGAATAAAATTATAAATAAAAAAAGAAGCTTCTGGTGAGAGGTTCATTAACCTCAATTTTCTGTTTAAGGCAGAGTTACGTCTGATGTGACTTTGGCTAATGTATGGTACTGATTTTGGTTATTGATAAACACGAATTTATAGTCATAGTCATCTAATAAAGTAGTTCAATGCACTGGCGGACAGATATTCGTGACTGTGTCTGCACATACAGACACAAAAATCCTAGGATTTTATTTTTTTTTTAAAGGTGGGTGATTTTGAATTATAAAATTGCTAAAATAATGCATTGCACATCTCTTCCTTGAACTGCCGCGTGATCCTCGTCTCTTTTTATCTATTTTATTGTTTTTTATCCGTCAGATTGAACAACTTACGAGCTTTACGGTGCTGGTAGACTAAAGCTTTTTTTTTTACATATAAAGACTAAAGCTTTTTAATTTTTGTAACTTCTTTCAATTTTTTATTTCAGAAACTCATAGAATATTAACTGATTAAATCTCTGTTTTAAAATTTATATTGCATTTTTTATTCCGCAAATATTTTTTATATTTTAAAAAATCTAATATATAATGTTCAAGAAATATATGTTAATCTTATTATTATTGAAAAAAATTCTAATAAAAATATGAAATTTATGGTTTTTCTATTATTATTATTATTATTATTATGACAATCAAGTTTTGATAAATATTACAATATAAATATAAACATAAATATATATATATAAATAAACTTTTGTATCTTAAATAGTGTCGATCTTACGATTTACAATTTTTTCATTCCCTTCCTATCTTAAGTAAGATCTCGATTTTAACAACATTGATCCTAACATAAAAAAATTGTAAAAAATCGTAAAAGTGTTTGAAATTTTGATGAAATCGTTTTGATTAAAAAAAATCATAAAATCATAAAATAACAGATTTAAATCGGAATTTTAGCTAACACGGGCCAACCCAATCAAATTTATATTTTTTTAATACATTTAAAATTTTCTTTAAAAAAATTCTTCGGAGACGCTGCCCCCGAACCCCGCCTTAAGTGTGCACACATAAAAAAAAAATTCTGGGTCCACGGTGCTTCAATGATATAATCCCCTCCCCATTGCAGAGGGCACACTCGTGTAGTCCCTCTTTTGTAGAACTGATGCTAGAGCATTTCTTGCATGAAGAGTGGATAATCACACATTACACAGCTAGTGTCCAAATCTCAGTGATATTTTGGTAAATATGCCTAGCACTGGCACTGCACTGTCCATGCAAAAACAAAAGTCTACCGACATGATTGCATTAGTTTCGTCCTTCGTTATTGTATTACTTTCTTTCTAAAGATTTGCTGCACATCTCCATGTCCATAACTTTTTGCCGGACATGAGCTGTCATAGACACAAAATTAAAAATACCAGACTGAACAACTTGATTCGGAGAGCAATTAGCATATCTAAAAGAGCAAGCTCATAATCCAAGAACACAAATGTCTACCATTGCTTCCCATGCAACTTCTTCGGTCTATTTAGTATCATAGAATTCTTCAAAGTCTTTGACCTTCAAGCCATAAAGCATCCTGAATCTGTTGAAGTCGATAAGCGTTATCAACCTCAATGAATACACCATTCATAGCAACTACTTACTACCTTGCGTAAAACAATTCTCTGAAAGGAATACTATCATTTCTGAATCGTACAAGTGAGATATTGATGGAAGTGGTCTCATATGATTACCACTACTAACACTAATTAAATCATAATACATAAAAGAGAAACTTATGTCAGTCAGTTTACTAGCTTAAAACCAAGATATGTGGATACATCAATTTCGGAAAAACATAAAATGATAGGCAATTGGTGTGTGTAGATGCAAACATTAGATGGCATTAATCACTACGCCTTCAGCTTTCCGCTCATGCGACATTTGTTGGGCCAAATGCAAGTCGCAGAATTCTTCTTGGCTGCAACTGAACATTGATCACTCTGACCACCTTTACTGCCCAGCTCGGTTTGGAGCTTCCGCCGCCTCATTCTGTTCTCTAATCGTATCCCTCTTAATGTACGAACTCTACGCTCAATTTCTAAAGCTTCTGTGAAATTCCAGATCCTGACAACACCTTCTTCACCTCCACAGACAATTCGATCAGCCCCTATATCTACAGAGAAAAGATTACTCTTAAATCCATTCAACATCCTCTGTGGAGGCTCTACTGCACCTCCTCCACCCAAATGCTTTACCTTGGAAGCTTTCTTCCCCAGAGCACGCTTGCTTGACCGCACCAGCTTTCTCACATCAATCAGAGCCAACTTGCCATCACTTGATGCTGAAACAAGCCAAGGAAACTCGAAGGCAAGAGAATACACAGGACCTGAGTGAGGAACCCAAGCAGCAGCATGCCAAGCCTTAGTCTCATAGCCATCATTTATGATCTCATACATGTGTATTGCACCATCTTCACCTCCAGTAAAAAGGAAGTCCCCTGTATGGCTTCGTGCCAAAGCATAAGTATTACCAGCATGAGCATTATAAACAATGGTCATCAAAGTCCCACTATTAGTATCCCAAACATACACATCTGAACCTGATGTGCTGGCAATTGTAGTATCATGAGGGACAAGTCCCCAGACCCAGTCACTGTGCCTCAGCACCACAGTGCACTTCATTGAATGTCGGTCCCACACTCGAACAGTAGTGTCCCATGAACCACTGTAAATCCTTGTCAAATCTAAAGCAAGTGAAGTTATTGGACCTTCATGTCCCCAAAGTCGAACTTCAGTATTCTGGTTTTGTGAACCTCTAACATCAAAAAGATGGGGAAGTCCTTCAACAGCCCTCCAACAATGAATGAATCCACCAGTACCGCCGGCAACCAGTAGTCTTCTATCTGCTGCAACAGCACGAATGGTGCAGCCAAGGGGTCGTGATGATGCAATTGACAACCCATCCTCCACGTCCCACATCCTCACAACAGAGTCATACCCAGATGTAAATATGAGCTTTGCAGAAGCCAATAGGAAAACAGTCCGAACTGCTTCAGTATGGCCATACAACGCATCCAGACTAAAACGTCCCATAAAAGTCTTACTCCTAAACTCCCTTTCCATAAAAAGTTCCTTCCATGACTTATCATCCGAAACCCCCGAATCCAGGACCATGGGAGCTGTTGGAAGTCCCCATCTTTGACAATAGAATTCCTTCCAAGCATGGTGCTCAGATGCAAGTCTATAGAGAATTGTGGAGACACATGAAACAACACCAAGATCTTTGGGGTCAAGGCAATTGAGAATCTCGGATATCAGTGCGGGAGGAAGATCAATGAAGGACCGCCGACAATCAAAAACCTTATCACCATCAAATGATGATTGGTTCAAAGTACTGGCCGAGGCTTTGGTACCTTTCTTGGAATTAAACTTGGATGCTCCCTTTGAGTTCTCACCCTTCCCGGATTCACGTTTGGTATTTGGAACAAAATTAGAGATTACAACTCCTTCAGTATTGCGTTTGGGGCTAAGCAGAAATGGTTTAACTATGCCTATTCCTGGTTTTGCTACCAAATTTTGGGAAACCTTAGTACTCTTTGGGCACTCAAATGCCATAAAAAAAAAATAGGATCCTATGCTTTGAATCAAAAGGGTTGAAGGATCAAACCCCGCAAACGCAATAAATTCAAAATTCCCAAACCAAAAACAAGAAAAATAATAATTTGGGAAATAACCGAAACCCTAATAGAAGCAACCCACGAAAAGAGACCAGAGAGGATATCAGGTTAACCCTAAGCTTAGCAACAGTTGATGACAAATAAAAGGGTAAAAGAATACTAAATTTTCTGGGTAAAAGAAAAATGGGAATAATTGAATGTTAATGAGATCGCAAAAAAGACCCAATAGATTTAAGAGCACGAAATTAGAGAGGAAAAGAAAAGGGAAATGGAAAATGGGTGAGAAAGAATGAGTTTGAAAAATACCTTGAGATGAAGAAAGATGAGTGATAATGCGAAGCAGGAGCACGACGACAGAGAATGAGAACCAGATGGGAAAAGGTATTATACCAACGAGTTGCGTACACAAAACTTAATTATCCCATAAAAAAATTATTTGGTACAAAAGTTGATTTTTACTAATGTTTTGTGAGAGAAGTTACATATACCATTAAATTAATTTGGGATTTATTTATTTTATGTTACATAAAATAATTATATGATGTAATAAAAAAAATAAAGGGATCTATTATTTATTTATTTTTAAAAGTTATAAACCCTACTACCTGTCTCTACTGTATAATATAATAATTATTTCCCAATAAGTTTATCACGTAAGCATTTGCAATGCTTTATTCCCAATCAAGTTAAAAAAATGTGGGGTTGATAAATAAAAAATTCTTTTATTTTCAGTTTCTTTATAAAAATATGTTCGTGTAAATTATTTTAAGAAAAATATCTATGTTATTTATTATTTTTATTAGTAATTTTACTTAATTATTCTTTATCCGCAAAATTTTACACAATTCTCTCTCTCTTTTTCAGGACTTGGACAAATAATATATATAAATAGGATTCGTTTTTGTCTGCCATTGTTGCTGATAATTTATATACACTAGGTTCAATACTACGTCGTTTTGGAACGAAAATTATGGTATTTTTATAATTTTAATTTATTTCAGGGTTATTATAGTCTTTATATTATAATTTTTATATCTTTCAATTCTAAAACAACGTCATTTTGGAAGTAAATGAAGATAATATATCTGCAGTAACTAAAGAAATATTTTTCTCATATAAATATATCAAACTTTAAGCAAGTGAATGTAATTAATTAAAAAATGAATAAATGTTTCTTTTCCTCATGGGGCATTTGGTACAAGAGAAATTTTTTTTTAAACGGGAAATAATTATTACTGAATTGTATTAGGAAATATATTTTTACTCGAATGTTATAAAAAGCTGTTTGGTAGACCCATATTTTCCCGAAATAATTAAACTAATTTTACTGAGTTTGTGTTTGGTTGGTTATGAAATATTACTGGGAATGTGGAGTTATTTTACCAAAATAACCCCACCTTTATCCTTTTTGATTCAAATATTCTAATAACGACGTTGCTGAAGACAAATAAATCCGGTTCACATCTGTGTCCTCAACAACCGAAGGAGGGTCATTTCACTGGGTTCGGGTGTGAAGACAGTGTTCTTGTTTTCGTCGACAGAGAAGAAAACCTCCTACGGTGTTCTTGTTTTTGTCGAGGAGTAAACATAGTAACGAGTTTTCACAACATCAAAAACTCAGCTTTGCTTTCATAGGAGTCTCTGCAAAATAAATACAAAAAAACAAAAAACAAATAAATTACGCCTTTCAAGTTCTTCCCGTCGAATGGAAGGTTTTCAGCCATGGGAGAGGCCATTGTGGTAGCTTTACCTTTTGCGAAGACAATATATACAGTACAAATTGAAGGTTATATTTGTCCATATATTCTCGCTTTAATATTTGCTTCCCCGGGGACTGAACATTTCCATCCAATTTGTGGATCATAAATTTGTCAAACAGTACAATTTTTATCACATAAACACATTTTGCTAGAAGCAAATTTCCCCTGCAAACTTTTGATATTGAAGCTACCAAACGTTGCTAATATTTATCTCCTACAATGCTTTCCCGGTGTTTCACAAATAAGCCGCGTAACAAACGCGCCCTCAGTTTCAAAAAAAAAAATTGAATAAATGGTGTCGTGTTAACTTGCAGTAGAGAGCATAATGGACATGGCCCATGGATCATACCTCAGTGCAAGCTCAGATGGTTTGAAATCCCTTACCAACAAATTTAATTTTTTAACAAAAAATTTATGAATATTTTTTTTTTTGCGGTGGTATCTTTATTCTTTAAGGGCCTGTTTGGTACGCGGATTATATTAGGTTCCATGGAAAAGCAACATTAGGAAGCATAATATACCATGTTTGGTATCCAATAAAAGGGAAGTTTCCCGGGTAAACAAATCTCCCATTTTTTGCATTTGTGTGTCAAGAAGCGTACGACTACCATAGCAGGAAGTCCAAAGATAATGTGGAATAGTTTGGAGTCTGAGCATGTGTAAAAGGTACCGCGAAAAGGTGGACCAAAATAACCTTGGAGATTGTACTATCTTTGAACAAATGGAGTTGGTGGCTTGACCTGATAGCAGTGAACAACAACAACTTCAAAGTGTTTGTATCTGAACCAGTGACATCGTAGAGGGAATGTTGCAACCAATGAACTACAACAACTTCAGTCTTGCTAACATTGAGCCTCTCAAGGTCAAGGTTCCCAACTTTTTCAGCAACGGGAAAGAACTCAAAGGGAAGCCCAAGTTTATTTGCAAAATCAAAGATGAGAAACAAAATATACCCATCATTGGTGGAACAAAAAACAGCAAAGATGACACGAGAAACAAAATATACCCAACCTGAGAGATTGCTTGTACAAGTTTGGCTTCTCTGTAAACAACGATCCAACAAAGTCTTCACAAACGCGCCCTCACAACCAAAGACGACGACCCTGATGCGTTTGCTAGTTTGCCTTCAGTAAAAAAAAAATTTGTAAATAAAAAAAAGGTAAAACAGGGTTATTTTGGTAAAATAACCTCTCATTCCCACATATATTTAACAATCAACCAAACACATACTCAATAAATTTAACCATAAATTCCCAGGAAAATTTGGTCATACCAAACACATTTTACTAACATTCCAGTAAAAATATATTTCCTACTATATTTCGGTAATAATTATTTTCGGGATAAATAAAAATTTCTCTTCTACCAAACGTCCCCCAAAGGGAATATTACAATACCAGTTCTTCTAAATTTCTAATATTACAAATATAGGTCTTGTCACAACGCTAGATCATTGTTGATAGTTAGGATTATAATATGTTATTTTATTTTAAGGTGAAAATATACGAATGGGCTCGTCAACTACTTACATTCACATTATATTCTTACGGTAAAAGTATTTGTCCTTTTAAATGATACAACTTGTATCATTTTATTCTCACAAAGAGGTGAGACCCACATTTTTATTTTTTTTGTCCACTCTCTCTTCTATGATTTATCTCTTTCTCTCACTTAAAATGACACAACTTTACATCCTTTAAAATGACACACATTTTTCCCTATTCTTATTTATTAGGAGAACAATTTTATAGAAGAATGATGGTTTCTTTTTAAGGAAAAAGGATAAGCTTAGGAGAATTTTAAAATTAAAACAATTGAAACAAGTTGTTCTTATTTTTTTTCATTTGATCTAAAATCCTTAAATACATGATACATTCCAACTTCTACTTCCTAAAGATAACAACAATCTTACCGTAAAGTTGAGAAAACTAAAAATAACTGCTCAACTAAGTTATAAGCAAAGGAAACGTGGATATGAAAATAACTGCTAAACTATGTTGTAAAGCGACTAAAGAGTGGACCCAGCACGTATGTCATGCATCAGGGAAGTAAAGCGGTTTAGCGGTTGTTGTAAGGGTACGTATCATCCCCCCGCTCTTCAAGACAAACCTTGTTCCCAAGGTTCTCGAGCTCCTCATCAGGAAATGTTGGTTGATTGTTCATCTAAGAGCAGGAGGGTGGATGGGTTTTGACATCTATGTCCACGCGTGAAATGCTCATCAATATTGAAACACAGTCCCTGTTCATGACATGTTTTCATCTTTTCAGTTGTGAGACAACGGACTCTGGGTGGAATGTTCGGGGATTATGTAGTTGTTGGTAATTGGCCTGAGGGAGTAGTGGTGGTTGGTTCAGGTAAAGATAACATAATGGATTTGTGTTGGTAGATTCATAGGGAAGGTCAGACAACTTTTCTTCCTGGTGTTTGGCAAGAACTTTTGCATCAATAATATTGGTTGTTTTAGTGCTTGGACCTCGCGTCTGATACGAGGCTTGAGGCCAGAAATAAAGTTGCGGAGGAGGAATTCAGGTGGTAGATTAGAGGTACAGTAGGCTGAGGATTCATAGTGTGTAATGTAGGCAAAGACACTTCTGGTTTGTTGGAATTCAACAAGGTCACCCATATGATCAACATAAGGGGAGTCACCGAATCTCGCTTTAATATGATGGATGAAATGCTCCTAGGACAGAAAGGGGTAGTTAGTATGCATCCATTGAAACCATGCTAGTGCAAGGCTGTCTACGTGAAAGGAAGCAATTTGTAGGCATTGGTGGGTTAGGGTGTTGTGAAATTCAAAAAATTATGTAGCTTTGAAAATTCATCCAAATAGGTGAGAACCATCAAACCTAGGCAAATCCAACTTGAAGGGACGTTGTTGAACAACTGTTGAAAAGTGTGGGGGATGAGGTGGTAGGGGAGGCGGTGTGGTTGGTGCTTGTGGTGAGGGAAAGTTGATCTAATCGAACCATTAGTGTAGTAAGTGTAGTTTGTATGTCATTGAGGCATTGTGTTGTTTGGTCAGAGTTTAGTGATTTGGTGGAGGTGTCTTTGAGTTGGGTGATTTGAGAAAGAGCGTTGAAATTTTCAAAAAGTTTGTGTAGTTGAGTGCATAGTATTCTTGGGTTTCTTCTAATTTGTGAAACCTTGTTTCTTTTACCAAGGAAAGGGACATGAGACTCAATGAAAGCACCAAATGATGGTTTATTTTTAGGCAAAAAGGATAAGCTTAGGAGATTTTTAAAATTAAAAGAACTCAAACAAGTTTTTCCTACTTTTTCATTCGATCTAAAATCCTTCAATACATGTTTCATTCCAACTTCTACTTACTAAAGATAACAATCTTACTGTAAAGCTAAGAAAATAAAAAATAACTGCCCAACTAAGTTACAAGCAAAGGAAACGTGGCTATGAAAATAATTGTCTAACAATGCTATAAAGAGACTAAAGAGTGGACCAAGCACGCATGTCATGCATTAGGGAACTGAAGCGATTTAGCAGTTACTATAGGGGTACGTATCAAAGAATATAACCTAATTTGATGTATTATTATGGCCTTATTTTATTTTATTCACTGCAGCAACCCGACCTACTGATTTGAAACTGGACGATAAGACAACTTAAAAAAAGAAGAAAATAATTAAGATTTGGATTCATTCTTGTATTTTAAAAACAAATTATGATAAAATGTCAAAACATTTAATTAAAATATAAATATGCGATGTTTTAATTCTTAAGAACATAAACTTTTTTCAAAAACTTAACTCAAACCGGAGGGAAGACTCTTTGATAACAGGGTTAAACTTAACTCATTTAATAACTAATATAAACATTTGTTATTAATTTTCCTAAACTCTTCAAAAAAGAAACTCCAGTCTCTCACTATCATGCATCTAGGGTTACCTTTTTTTTGGAGATTTTCTCAACTATATTGTAATTAATGTCTAAAAAGTCTGTATAGTGACACCAAAGGCGTCCACTAGTCTAGGCATTGCTTGGCATCGCAGCTACAACACATTGGTTGGGAAGTGAGAGAATTTGACCAGGCACTTACTGGGTGTAAGAAGTTCTTATATCAGGATTGTGTGGGAGTTGCTCTCCCTAGACTTTCTTAGTCGTAGCTTATACTTTTATCTTCTCTAGTTTTTTTTTTTTTTTTTAAATACTCTAGCCTCTCACTGCTGTGTGTTTCTTATCTGCTACTGTAACTAATCTGCTAACCATTTTTCCAATCTAACCCTTTATAAATATCAACTGTTAAGATGTAAGGACAAGTGGAGTAGGTCCGCCAGGTAGAGAAGGGGGTCCAAGGGTGGATGACACTGTAACCTTGGATTAAGATGAGAAACTAGCTGAAGGACAAGGTGGTCAAAGAGATGTAAAACCAAGCCAGATGGATAAGACACTACATGATGTAATAGGCTAAGAGATTGTATGATAGGTGTTGCGACTTCAGCAAGTGCATCGGTCATAAAAGTAATAAAGTGTACTACGAGATCGTTCCCACGAGGATTAGAAGTATTTGTCATGTCAGGATTAAAAGTAATAAATTAGAGACAAGTATTTCTCATGTGGTGGTGGTGGTGGTGACGATGGTGGTGGTCGTGTCAGGATGATGGTGGTGGTGGTGATGATGGTAGTGGTTGTGTCAGGCATGGTACCAGTCTCTCTCAATCACACCACCACTATCATCTTCACCACCACCATCATCCTGACATGACCACTGCCACCATCGTTGTTGTCGTTGTCAGTGGCGGAGCCACGTTGAAGCCAGCGGTTGCCTTGGCACTGGCTTATTTAGTCACGTTCGTTTAGCTACACTTAAAATGTAGCAAATTCTGTTTCAATTTTTTTGAAAATTAGCCACGTTTTGGTCGTAGCCATACAACCGTGGCTATTTGGGCACTAGCTGAATTTTTTTGGCACTTGCTAACATGCAATGCTGGCTCCGCCACTGGTCGTTGTCACCACCATCATCACCACGACCTCCACTCATCACTACCACCATGCCACCACCACCACCACTACTGTCACCGTATCGTTGTCACCACCACCACCACCACTACCACTATGCCACCACCACCACCACCATGCCACCACCACCACCACCACCACTACTACCATCATCACCACCACCACCATTGTAATTGCCATTACCATCACCGCAACCACTATGTCATCACCATCGCCGCAGCTGCCGCCACCACCATACTATATGGAAAAGAAAGTGATGATCCAAAAAAAAATTTATGCTTAATAGGAATTATTTTTTATTATACTATTTATTGTATTATCAAATACAATTCTCATTCTCGAAATAAAAATAGAACATGTTATCAAACACATTTCTCTTCTCAGAAACTGTTCCAAGGCACAAAAATAAAAAAGAATTTTTTATTTTAAGAAATAGTGTTAAGGAAACATAATAGTTGTCATATACAATCTTATTGGGTAGAAATTAAAATATACGTTTAAAACATGGGAAAAATAGTTCTCCTGTCATTGGAGAAGTATTCTTCTCGTGTCTCAAACAATTTTTTTGATAGCCCCACCATATTTTTATGTGTAGTGCGTATCCTCAAAGCTTCTTATTGCGCCAGAGACTTTAAACCCATAAAACATATTTGTAATTTGGCCTTTTTGGACCCAATAAAATGAAATCTTTTTTCAGTAAATAAAGTTTACATTTTACTTATTTATTCATATGAAAATAATACTACATAATTAGAATGGTAACAACTACTCGTTCATTCCATGATAAATATAAATGTTAAATTATTCAAACGCTTAATATTTTTAAATAAATATATTTATTGAACATTTTTTTATGCACACGTACTTATTCTACATTGAACTCTTTTGAAGATTACAAAATATTCCAATTATTAATAAATTTGTTTAAAATGATGATACAAATATCATCAGTTACTCTTGCGATTGTTTTTCTACAAAAAAAAATTCCATTTAATAATTTAAGTGTAATGTCAATATCATAAACTTTTAATTCTTTATTAAATAAAATTTCTCTCATTTCGTGCTCAGGTTATTATTTTATAACAATTTTGGAAGAGTTTTTTCCAAAAATTAACTTGTATGGTAAGAGAATCCAAAATTTATATAAACTTCACACCGGTATTTATAACTGGATCGTAACCTTATACCTCCCACATAACACAATAAAACACACAATTATGGTCAATAACCTTACATCAATTAGCAGCAAGTCCATTTGAGTTACTCGATTTCAATATTTCATGATTGAATCTCACATTAACCATAAAAAAACCACTTAAAAGTTAAAAGCATTGCCAAAAATGTTCAAGAGAACAATATAGTTATATACTAGATCTCACATTATCATCAATAGTAATAGTTACTTTTTTTTTTTTTGATAGATGCAGGGGCAAAGCCCCACAAGAGAATACAAACTAACTCAAAAAACAGAAAGCAAAAACAGAACAGAAAACATAACTCAAAGAACTAAGCTAACTACAATCTAAGCTAGCAGATTCCTTCGACCAGGATCCAACAGATCTGCAGCAAGCAGATTAAGGAGCTCCCTCTTGGGGACGAGATTGTAGTCATGCCAGGAGGATCCTCCAATGCTTTTTTGGAAATCCAATCAGCACAGCAGTTGCAAGTCCTCGGGATAAACTTCAGCTGCACATTCCAATCCTTGTTGAGAAATACTCGAATCTTAGCTACCAAAGGAAGCTTTCGAGTTTCGTTACCAGATGTGGTAAGAAGGCTAATAGCTTGAGACGAATCAGATTCCAAAACGATATTACTCCAACCAAAATTCCAGGCAAAAGCTAAACCATTTAAAATAGCCCAGAGTTCAGAATGTAGAGTTCAGAATGTAGCGGAGAGCAAGAACCTATAAAAACTGAAAAATCACTAATCCAGACCCATTCCAATCTCTCAGAAGACCCCCACACGCCGCTATGGTAGTTCTTTTTTAATTATACATATCTTGAATATTTATCTCTATCCCATTATGATCTTGAAGGCAACGTTTGTAATCAGATCAAAGAACACACTTCTTATTAGTCTTATCTCTTGAGATATTATATATAATAAAGATTCACTACTGAATAACGCATATGGCGCATAGGCTAAGATAAATTACATATACTATTTATATATATAGATGGAACGAAGTATGGAATAATTTCCTTTTTTCGATCTGATAAATGAATTAATAAATTTGAATAGTATAAGATCCTAATTTTGCTCCTTCCGTTACGCTTCTCAGACTTTCACAGACAACAACACGCATCTTTGGAAGACAACCTTCTCAATCTCAAACGTATTACACACACTCTTCTCCCTCTCGCATAAAATGTCCGTCGAGGAAACCTCCGCCGTCGCCGCCTCCGCCACCACCACCGTCTCCGAATCACCTGAAAAAATACAATCCGCTATCCAATCCCTTTCCTCCATCGTCCCTTCTCTCTCCGCCGCCACCACCAACCACCCTCTCTCTCTCCTTCACGACCCCAACATCTACTCCCACATCTCCACCCTCCTCCGCCAACCGAACTCCGGTGCCGGCGACAACAACCTCTGTCGTTGGCTCTACGACACCTTCCAATCCGGCGTCCCGGAGCTCCAGCTTCTTGTCCTCCGCTTCCTCCCGGTGATCGCCGGCGTGTACCTCTCACGCGTGGCAGACCGGAAACCCCAAGCGGGATTCGAAGCCGTTCTCCTAGCCCTGTACGCGCACGAGACAACGTCACGCGCCGGCGAAGCCGTGACGGTGACAATCCCCGACGTGTCACACCCAAGCGTGTACCATGAATCCAAAGCACCGGTGAAGAACAACGCGACGGAGCTCAACATCGGCGTCGTGTCGCCGAGCCTGGAACCACACGGCACGGTTCGGTCGACAAGAAGGGCTCGAATCGTTGGCGTTGCGTTAGAGTTGTTCTACAGCAAGATTTCCCAGATGCCCATTGCGCCAAAGATCGATTTTTGCAAGTTCTGCAAGGTTTGGGCTGGTCAAGATGGAGACATGTACAAGGAGTTCGAAGAAGAAGAAGAAGAGGAAGAAGAAGAAGAAGAAGGTGAAGAAGGTGGTGAAGAGGTGAAGGAGAAAAGTGGTGGCGAGAGGGAAAAGATAATAGAAGGGAGGGTTCCTATGCCTTGGGAGCTTCTGCAACCGGTTTTGAGGATTGTGGCTCATTGTTTGTTAGGACCGAATATTAATAAGGATATGGAGTTGTTTGGTGCAGCGAGTGAAGCATGCAGGTGTTTGTTTGCAAGGGCAATGCATGATGTTAATCCTAAGGCTATTTTGCCAACAAGGAGTCTTTTAAGGCTTTCCAAAACTGTTGTAACAAATGCTGTTGATGATGATGACCCCACTGAGCTTCCCAAGACTGATGTTATTTCTCTTTAATTAATTACGCTACTTTTTTTCTGTTGTTTTATTCATTTTCATTTTATGGCCTTTTCATTTCAACTTTTGAGGCATGCTTGAATTTGTGGATGTTTCTAAACATGGGCAAATTATACTCTTTTGGTCTTCGAACTTGATTTTGTTCTCTTTGATATAACTCCTTTACGTTACGCCTATCCTTTCTTTGACATTATTATGAGAATCTCATTCTCGGCTCTATCAAGTATGTGTTTTTGGTACACCTATCGATGGGTTTCATAGGCCTTGCAAGGCAAACTAATTGATGATATGTGTAGATTGGAAATTCAAACTGTGAATCAAGATGTGAAATTTAAGACCCGTCAAGTTGTTAAATTCAGATTTATTTCCGTAGATTATATTTATCTTCATACAGATGTTTCCTATGGACGCTTAAATGATCTAGCTAGTGTGTTTCTCTCTATATGATCTTCATACCAAGGATTCGTTTACAAATTTTTTTGAAAATTTTTACAAATTACACTATCTTCTCCCGGAATAACATAGTGTAACTCATGTTCTCCCGGGAGAAGGTAGCGTAGTTTGTAAGAGTTTATAAACAAAAAAGTTTATAAATATAACGTGTATATATATATATATATATATATATATATATATATATATTTGTGTAGTTTTAATTCAATAACATCACAAATGATCTAAATTTATGTTATTTTAGATCTTAATTATTGATTTTCTTCGTTCAACGATTAAGATTTATTGGGTCAAATTTAATAATTAATTAGTAATTTACAATAAATCCTAACATTTGACCTACAAAAATCAACGGTTAAGATTAAAATAATATAAAATTAGATTCTTTAAAAGGACAAATATTTTTTCTTTAATTTTTTTTTTGCCTCGATTTGCATTTTGTTTGGCTATGTTAAAAAAATATAAGTAATGGAAAAAGTCAATATATCAGATTTACAAAAATTCATCTTTTATATACTAAAATAGAGATTTTACTTTTAAACGTAAGATAATATCCTATTATGCTTTAATCCACACACACATATATATATTTTCATCGTTGTTTAATATATTTTTTTATATTTCCTAAAAACTTTCAAATTAGTAATTCAATTTAATTTTTTCATTTTACATTAGAATTTCTCTTCTTTTTTCCCTACCAACGATCAACTGCGCTCTATTCCTCTATATTAAATTAGATTATATCATTTGAAAATTGACTTAAACTCTTATTCTGCTCCCTTTGTAAAAAATGACACATATTATTCTTAATTTTTTTAATATTTTTAAATTCAAATTATTTTAATTAATAATACATCTTTTCATCTTATTGTTTATCTATATTTTTTAAATTCTACCTAGATTAAGTATACAATTATTGTTTTCTTAAAATTTTTTAAATATTTTTCATATAATTTATATTTTTTTGTATATAATATAATTTAAAATTTATATTTTTAAATTGGAAATAATTATGCAATTTACGAGATACTTGATAATTTATAAAATAAAATACTTAGAGCGTTAGACTGTGAATGATTGATAATTGTTCAAAAGCGGTTACAATTACAATATAAAATGAAAATTATACAACATTATTATTTTGTAATTTAAGTTTAATTAAATAATGATAATATTAAAAAATGTAAGGAATTAAATAAAGAAATCTCTTTATAATAATATACGTTTAGTTAGATATAAATTTATGTTTATTTAATTTATTTAAATAATAATGATGTTTAATAAAAACAAACGGGGAAAGAATATGCGTGTACAAAAAAAACAATGTAAAATAAACCAATGTAAAAGCATTTATCCATGATAAGAATAAAAATAATGAAAATCAAAAGTCGTGATAAGAATAAAATAATGAAAACGAAAAGTGAAAATACAATCATCAATGTAAATGAAATGTGGTTTGGAGTTAATAAAGATGTAAATGGATCGGTCGGCGTAATAGAGATTTATTGCTCCTGTACGTTAAGTTAAATTTGACTTATTATAAATAATTAAATAGAATAAATTTGGATCTTAAAAATAATTTACTAAAAAAATAAATCATGCGTTTTTTTTTTTTTAAGGCCACAAATAAATTTTTTTATTTATTAGGAACTAAAATGATCACTGTGAACATATTTACATACAAATTTGACCTTGAGAGAGCAGCCTATCTACACCCGTAGGAGTTTGAGAGGCGAGAGCGACGGGGGATGCACTTGAGAAATCCGACAGCAAAAGACAGGAAATGGTGAATCAAGTTGCGATTTTCAATGGAGTTTGGTTTAAACGAACAACGACCGTGTGATGTAGATTAAACGGTAGATACGACATGAGGTGTTTGTACTAATGTCATATCGAACCTATGCAGTACACCACCCACTCCGGACTCGGAGGTGCAGAATCAGAAACCGCCATATCTTCGTTTCGATTACTGTAAGTTTAAAGGGTTTCCAAATTTCCCACGTTAATTTGTACAGTTAATTCTTTAACCGTTACTGTTTTTATTTATTTCTTTGTTTATTTATTTATGCATCATAATAAAAGAGAGTAAATATTGTATTTTAATTACTGCTGATGTGCTGATAATAATCTCAACAACGAAAAACTGGTAGTAGTATTCTTCATTTAGTTTAAGGATAATGCTTTTGTTACGTTGTATTTTTGTGAGATTCACTAAAAAAATGTGAGCGCAGAGAATAATACATTTCTTACAAAACATACGAAAAAGTATTAGCCTTGGTTTGAAGGTGGTTTAGATATCTTCTGGGACTCGATTACCCTTTTTACGGGTATAAATATCTTCTGTAGTACTTTATCATGGCAGAGCACTTGGCTTTTATCCTCTCGCAATATTTTAACAAATAATTACTAGTGAGGATCCTAAGTCTTTTAACATATTTCAATTGCAGATGCAAGATTATAGCAGAATTCAATCAACAGAATTTGAGGGTTAAGTTTCTGCTCTTAAAGAGTTTCCTTGTAACCAATGTTGAAGTCTATGGCCTGCATCAGCGAACATCTTTCAACACCAGCTAACAAGGTTGCTGTAATAAATATCAAGGTATGTGATTTTGTTCTTTAGACTTATCTTTCTCAAATATGTCCTGTGCATATATGCTCTTTTTTTCTTTCTTTATTATTCTAGTACTAGAGAAGCACAGATCAATGCTGCTTTGCGCTTTCATTATAACAATTCCCTAAAGCACTTCTCTTCATATTAAGTATTTTAATTCGCTTTAAAAGATAGAGAGATATTTATATGTTGATTCATATTTTTAAGGTAATAAATTGTGACGAGGAGCACTTGCCCTTGATTTATATATATATATCCAGCTTTCAGAGAGGGTTTTCTTTGTTGTCTCTTTACTTTGACCAGCTGTTAAGATTGTTAAAATTCTTTAAACTGTTTCAGCTTCAATACACCAATACAACTTCTAGTCAGTTTCAGGTCTGCAGGGACACGTTGGGTGCTGTGCTACAATCAATGGCCTATATGTTGAATCTGTCGTTGAAACCAAACCCTTCAAACAAGATTTGAATTCTCATCCTACGGAACTCTCCATGCCCTTTAATCACACTCCAGAATCTGGTTACAATCATCACCATCATGGTCTTCTTGATGATGGGCAGAGCAACAATGGATGAGAGAACATCAATGTTCTTCTCCATTTTCACTTGGGTCTTGGGCTTCTCTGTTGATCTTCTTTCATTGAATCATTGGATTTCTGTTCTTGGCTTCTTGTTTTTGGATCGCTTTTCATGAGAATGATGATCTCCTGTTCAAGAACATTGATGTTATCTCCTCCATTCTTGTTCTGCCCATCATCAAGAAGACCATGATGGTGATGATTGTAACCAGATTCTGGAGTGTGATTAAAGGGCATGGAGAGTTCCGTAGGATGAGAATTCAAATCTTGTTTGAAGGACTTGGTTTCAACAACGGATTCATCAATAACGCTCTTGTTCTTCTGGGTGCGTTTGACAGGAATGTGACTATAGCTACACTTTGAACATATATGTACTAAGAATATTGTAGGTTAGCTAACTGTACCAGTTCATAAATGTACGGTTAGGAATATAATATTTAGAATTGTGGATTCCAGATAATTGCGTGTATCCATTGGTTTGTTTTTCTCCCTTTATACATAAAAAATTGAAATATAAGAGGCAGAGAGCGAACATATGTTTACATTGTTCACAAAAAAAGAGATAATGCAGTAAAGTTAATATTATGTATTCACTTGTGGAATTCATTCACCTTTTATATTGTTCTCAAATATCTTATTTTAAAATGAGCGAACATATGGTTTTCATAATCACAACATTATCCATATCTTATGATAAAAGACTACTGAGCAGTTGATGACAAATATGTTTATGTAAATAACTAGGAAAGTGTTACGTTTATAATTTTTTTTATTTACAACTTCAACTATGTACTCTGGGGAGTATATTCTCAAATATATGTACTCCCTAAAATACATAATTGAGGTTGCAATAGTTGTAAAAAAAAAAAAGTTGTAAACGTAATCTATCCGGTAACTATAGTATTCAAATTCAAAGAAACAATTAACAATTCAATTCATAGAACCTTGGATGATAAAATGTGTCTTTCAAATTCAAAGAAACAATTAACAATTCAATTCATAGAGCCTTGGATGATAAAATGTGTCTTACAAAATCATCCATAGCTTTCACCGAAGACCCCTTTCCTTCACCTTTCTCTCTTTTGGCCTCTCTGAAGTGTACTGCAATGTCATTTGCCTTCTCCTTCATTTCCTTTCCCTTTCCTTCGTGGTCCATAACTATTTCTATCACCTTTTTCACTTCCTCTCTAGAAATGACAGATTCCACAGTCCGTGTGAGCTCAACACAAACACCCATTTCCTCCACCAACATCTTTGCATTGTATGCTTGTTCAGCTGCTAGTGGCCATCCTATGATGGGGACCCCATGGCTGAGGCTCTCCAACACAGAGTTCCACCCACAATGGCTTAGAAATGCTCCTGTTGATGTGTGTGATAGAATCTCCAATTGGGGTCCCCATTTGTGCACCAATAAACCCCTTTCGTTGACCCTCATTCTCTCTTCAAACCCTTCAGGCAACCATTCTTCCCCGAACACTCCATTAATGTCAAAACCAAAAGGTGGTCTTATAACCCAAATAAATGGTTTCCCACTCTCTTCCAATCCCTCAGCCAAGGCCATCATTTGGGAGGCACTGATGGTGTTCTGTGATCCAAAAGAAATGTAAAGAACAGAATTCTGATCTTTCAAGTTGAGCCACTCAATGCATGCTTCAAGAGCTATGCCAGGTTCTTTACCTGCACGATGTTTTGAAGAACCCTTGTTTGCAGCTGGTTGCAGAAGAGGACCTACAGTCCAAACAGGAAGTTCAAGATACTGTCTCAGAAGTTGCAACCCCAAAGGCTCCACCTCCTCAACCGTGTTGCAAATCCACCCATCAGATTTCATGGACAGTGCAATCTGTGGAATGAAGAATCTGGACCAATCGTCATTGCCATATGCTAATTTTAAATATCTATGCAACTGAGAGCGATGGAATCTGTAGCTTTGAGGGAACCCCGGAACACAGAACACATCAGAGTCTGTTTTCCTATGGGGAAGGTTCGACCACATAGAGATGTAAGCTAAAGTTCCATAAGCACCACAAGTGGTGAAGGTTATGTTCCTTGTACCTAAGCTCTTGGCAACGTTGGTAACCCAACCATGGAACACGTCAGATATTATACAAAGTGGAGGGTGACCCTCTTCCTGTGTGATCTGGGATATCAAGGACCGAAGAGGAGCCTCAAGACTCATTGATGCATGAAACAGTTTGATGATGTCAGTGAGAGGTAGCTTCTCTGTGTTCTCTATGTTGGGTGGTAAACCATGATGGCTAGAATTGAAGGGTAACTCAGCAAAGTGAATATCATTGGTTGTGGAAATGGCAGATTTGAGGTATTGAATGTTGAGGTGAGTGGTAGCTATGGTGATGGTGAAGCTTGTCCTTTCTTGGATTTGCCTTGCTAGTGCTAGGAATGGGATGAGATGCCCATGTGCCATGAATGGTGCCATCACGATGTGCCCCTCCTTCCTTGCTGCCTCTGCCATTGGAGCTCAACGTATTTGGCACAAGAATTCTATTCTCTTCTCTTCTTAGTTTCTGACTAAAGAAAGTGCACAAAATAAAGCAAAAGAAAGGTAAAGTGGCATGGTGTAGTACAGACTACAGACACAGTAGTGGCAAAAACATGTGAATCACCATACTCCACGCACATATTTTGTTCATCCAACAAGCTTTTCGGTGGTGTGGGACCCTGCTTCTGCTTTTGTTGAAATTAACATGTGAGGGAATGAATGTTAATTCATATCATGCCAGTTACATCTTCCTCTTTATGATTGAAACCTAAAGAAACAAGTTATCATTTAACTTTTTGTTAGATTTATACAGTCTGACGTTATTTATTTATTTGAACACTGTTTTAGACCGGAGGCCCAATATCTATTCTTCACTACATTGCAACTTTAATTTTTAATTTTAATTTTTTTTATCAATGTATCTATTACTCGGGCTCTTTGACCCATATGGGGTTTTAATCCATTTAATTTTTTAATTTGGTATTCGATTCACAATATTTGTCAATGGGGTAGTTGAGTGACGCAAGGGGATCCAGCGGCACTCAGTGCCGCGAACAACCCCCGTGTCACTCACACATTTAGTTTTTTTTTTTATCTTCATTTGAGTGTCGCCCCCCTCTCCTAGGGAACTCATGAGATTGTGCCACGTGGCACAATTTCGTTAGTTCCATTTCCGTAAAATTTCGGAAGACAATAACTTTTGATTCGGGTATTCAAATCAAATGATTTTTTTTTATTTCATATAACTTTTCGAGATCTACGCAATGACGCATCGTTTGAGAGGTTTGTACTAAAAAGATTTCCTTAATGTTTCAATTTGAGAAATAATTAGTTACACTTTTAGTATTAATTTTGTGAATAAATAAATTTGTTGAATGACAATGAATAAAATTGTAATAAAAACAATTTAAATTTTCAGGGTATATTATATTGTACTTATTTAAGTGCCGTTGTCTTGAAAGTTATATCCATTAAATTGGCATATGCTTATCACCTCCTCATAAGCAATCTCACAAATTGCATTTTGCATCCTACAATTTCAAACTATAACATCACGATTCACTTGTAATCAGTTATAAGAGTGAGCTAACGAGCTTCGCACGTTCCCGATCTTTAATTTTGAGTGAAATCAATCGAAATCCATAGAATAATTAGGAAAGCCCATCCCCTATAGCCCATAATAAATTAATTGTGTCCAACACCACAGATTGCCTGGCCCATCTGATGGCTATTTGGGGATGAGGAATGATAACAATTGGGTGTAATTAATCAACCCACATGGTTGGGTACTTAGGTCAGCTCTCCATGTTTTTGTATTAATGTCGGTAATTGTATTTTTTATCATACTCGATAGCTGATTTTACTTATATTCAATTTTTTTTTTATAAGTCATAGGTAGTCTCCACAATAAGCAATCATGTTCGGGAAGAGTTCAGGATTAAGGCTTTAAACTTCTCTCAAAGATGATGCTGAAAAATTGCACATGTTCTCACTCTCATCAGCTCAGCTCTCATATATCAACTAGCTATCATCATTTGATTTAATTTTTTAATTACATGAGCCATTGAATATAAATTAATCAATAGTTAAGAATGAGTATAAAATCTTCTCCCCTTTATTATTTTTTTAATTATTCTTTAGAAGTTAGCTCAAATTGAAGGAATTTTTTTTAAAAAAAAAATAGAGAAACAAAGGTGGGAATTTAGTTTGGATCGTGTCTACTTTTCACTTTTTTCATCCCTTAAAACTTAATAAGCTTAAACAACCCATCATCATCGTGGCCATGGCAGCAAGGGATTTAAATCTTTTGTCCATCTTATTGTTTCTTTAATTGACGACCTTGTAGTTGTAGGCTTACACATTTTCTGTCCATAGTTTCACTTTCAACTCAATAGTCAGTCAATTGCGGACAAAGTTGATTCTCATTATTGTTATATCTGATACGGGTTTGATTATGACGAAATACTTGAATCTCATAATGTAGGTAATCAAAATACATACAATAATTAGGCAGAAGCCAATCTCCTACAATAAAGTGCAACAACAGAGAAGTGGGTAGTAGTTAGTTAGTAGTAGTAAATGCATTATTACTTACCATTTCATTTCATAATTCAACAACTACTTTTATAACATGAAATAGGAATAAATTTTTAGTATTACTGTTGTACCAAAATTCAGTACATTTCACTAATGAGAGCATTACACATTATAGAAGAGAGAAAAAATTTGACAGAAAAAAAGAAAACTTTAACTAACATGTAATATTTCTATTAATGAAATGTACTGAATTTTTGATGCAACAATAGCACAAAAAAATTTATTTATGGAACAAGGCTCATTCAGCCGTAAGGGCAAACCAAAACCCCTTAAAGGCTGACCCCACAAGTGATGTTTTAGATAATCCACCCAAATAGTTAGCTGCCCTACCCCCAACTGCATCCCATTAATTAACATATGCATACACCACACCCCTCATTTATTTTATTATTTATCCTTACCCTCTGTATAAGTCTATTATATTGAAAATTTTGAACACCTTTCTTTCTTTTGTGTTTGTGACTAACTAGGAAAGCACACACACAAACTCTCTCTCTCTCTGTTCTTTCAAATCAGGTAATTCTTCCTTCTCTTTTCTTTCTTCTTTTTCCTTCAATTGGGTCATTGATTTTTTAATTAAGGAGCTCTTTTTAATATCTTCACTCTATTTTTTTTTGGGTATCTCGCGGCTAACTATACGGTGTACAGTTACCAATACCTTTCCTGTACGGTTGAATACCTTCTCTGTTGGTGACTCACATTCTTTGTGATCATCGAATCCCAATTTTCTTCGTCAAAGTTTGTATCTTTTGCTAGTTTCTTCTTCCCCACTAAAAAAGCTTGGAACTTGCCATTTACTGCTTCGGAGATTTGATATTATTTCGTCTCGGTTTGGAGAAATTAAAAATGTGGGGTTTTCTGCTATATTATATGATTGTAAATTTGATAACTTCGTATAAAAATCATACTCCTTGCGTTGTATTTTTGGTTGCTGTTAATGTATATGGGGTGGATGAAATGGCGTAGTGCATCTGCATTTTTGTGTGACCGCAAAATTCCCCTGAAGTTAAAAGGAAAATTCTATAAAATGGCAGTACGACCGGCAATGCTATATGGAGCGGAATGCTGGCTAGCACATAGGCAACATGAGCATAAGATGGGAGTAGCAGAGATGAGGATGTTAAGGTGGATGTGTGGGTACACAAGGATGGATAAGATAAGAAATGAAGATATTCGACGAAAGGTCGGAGTAGTACCGGTAGCCGAGAAGATGAGAGAACATAGATTGAGGTGGTTTGGGCACGCGATGAGAAGACCCATGGATGCTCCTGTAAGAACAGAAGTTTGTTACCAAGAGCTAAACACAAAAAGAGGCAGAGGTAGGCCGAAGCTTACTTGGGGGAAAGTAGTAAAACAAGATTTAATGGAGTGGGATATAGATTGGCGGACAATATGTCTTAGAAAGGAATGGAGAAAAGCTATAAGTATGGTGGAGGGTTAGACTCGCTGTTATTCCTATGTTCCAGATGGTCTTTTTTTAGTCCTTTTCCCCTTCATTTCCCCCACTTCTTCTTGTCCCTTTCTTTTTTACTTTTATTTATTTATATATACATATATTTTTATTTTATTTTATTATTTTATTTGTGTATTTTTATTTATTTATTTATTTATTTATTTTTTTTTATTTTTTTTCAACCGTTTTGTATCTTTCATGTGGGTTCATCTACCCCAATTAATTTGGGATAAATGTGTTGTTGATGTTGATGTGATGTTGATGTTAATGTATATGGGGGTCTGATGTGAATCTACGATTTCTTATTCCCTTGAGTTTCAGCCCCTACTTCTATTGGATCTTGCATTATCCTTCAGTGATTCGCGAAGTGTGTGACTGACACTGTGTGCGGAGTGGGTCTGCTTCGGTTTTAAAGATGAAGGTTACTTTGGTTTCTAGGAGTGGAAGAGAAATCGTTAAAGGTGGCATTGAGCTCAGCGATTCTGTATGTCTTCTTTCTCTAGATTTCTTACCCCTTTTTTTATCGCATTTTGTTAATTTATTTTTTTTTGTCATCAAAAGGGTATTTTGATGTCTGAGAGTTGGATTTTAATTATGTCATTCAAAATCCGCCCTCTTGTATAGCTTTTGAATTGAGAAATGGGAGCTTTGTTTTCAAAAGTAATGACTTATGGTTTGTTCCTTTGCCATAGGCTACTGTAGCAGATCTGCAGGAGGCAATTCATAGGCGAAGTAAGTGAACTTGTGTTTTTTCTCTACTATTTTTATGTATGAATGTTTTTTAAGTAGTATCTGACAAGTAAAACGATTAAAATACAATGATTCTCAGGCTTGTATATGGATGGTGCTAAGATATTTCTGCGTATATATATATATTTTTTGCGTTAGATTTTTAACTTATTGCATACAGCGTGATGATAGAAGTGTCATAGGTTCATTGATATTTGCTATTCTTACTATTTGGTATTTTTAATGATCATAACAGTGTAATAATCTGAGTCACCAATACTTTCAAATGTCTGTTGTACTGGTGTTGGATACGTATCTGGATACTCGGATACTTGATAAATGTTAGTTGTAATGTATTTGCAATGGCTAAGCCAAAAATAAAAACTCTTTTCTCCACTATTTCCCTCAATCATGGAGCGCGGCCCTTCTATTATGTTTTTTTTATGAGGTCTTATGATGTTTTCATGTGGTTTTTGATGTTTGATGAGATAATATATATTATTTTTAATATTTGTGTTATGTCATATCCTATGATACCAGTATCCTTTTTTTTAATAGAAGTGCATCCCTGTATCATACTGCTGTCACATCCTATACCCGTACCCCTATCTGTGCATCATAGGTGATAACAAACTAAGTTTCCTTTGAAATTGTAAATTGTTCATTTAGATACAATTGTTGAAGTTCCTTTGAACCTTGGGCATATGAAGCACAAGTAAATTCCCCTTTTTCACACTCTAAAATGACCATGAAGTTTTAGCATCATTAATTTGATCTGCAAGTCTTTTTTAATAACTACTTATTTAAACCTAGTCTAGGTTGATGAACTTGAAGTGTTAGAATGGGGAATTACTTTGCAGCATATGAAAGTTAACCCAATTCTTCTTGAGTTGGTGAACTAAAAGAAATTATTGGTGACAACACTAGTTCATTCCATTGCATCCAACTTTTGCTACTATTGTATGGCTTTGTTATTCTGTCTTAGACCTCTCTTGAGAGAAAAAGCATGCTTGTATGTAAGTGTATCTCTATCTCTAGGCAGCATTGGATTTCATAGATCATTAACATGATTTGTTTGATTCACTTCAACAGCCAAGAAGTACCCATCAAGGCAGCGCTTGACGCTTCCTGTCCAACCAGGATCAAAGGAAAGGCCTGTTGTTCTTCATTACAAAAAGAGTCTGAAAGACTATACAAATGGAAATTCAGAAACCTTAACTGTAGTATTCAAGGACTTAGGCCCTCAAGTTTCATATCGTACGCTTTTTTTCTTTGAGTATTTGGGACCTTTGCTCCTCTATCCAGTCTTCTATTATTTCCCTGTTTACAAGTATTTTGGCTACAAAGGTGAACGTGTCATCCAACCCGTGCAGACATATGCCATGTACTACTGGTGTTTCCATTATGCCAAACGAATTCTGGAAACATTTTTTGTGCATCGCTTCAGCCATGCAACCTCACCCCTTTCCAATGTGTTTCGCAACTGTTGTTATTACTGGACCTTTGGCGCTTATATTGCTTATTATGTGAACCACCCACTGTATACCCCTGTAAGTGACCTCCAGATGAAGATTGGGTTTGGGTTTGGGATACTCTGTCAAGTTTCAAATTTCTATTGCCATATTATACTGAGGAATCTTCGCAGACCTGAGGGAGATGGTGGATATCAAATCCCATGTGGCTTTCTCTTCAACATCGTTACCTGTGCAAATTATACTACAGAGATCTATCAGTGGTTGGGCTTCAACATTGCAACGCAAACTGTTGCGGGTTATGTTTTTCTTGTGGTTGCTACTTTTATCATGACCAATTGGGCTTTTGCAAAGCACAGGCGCTTGAAGAAGGTCTGTCTCCTTTATCTTTTATTTTATAGTTCATTAATTCAGTTTATGGTCTTTATTTTATAGAAGTATAACTATAATAGCAAAATTGTGTATGATCCGCATGATATAAAAATTAATAATGAATAATTTTAAGTATGCTTTTGGCTAAACTGTCAGATTTTAGATTTTGAGGATTATGAAAGGTTTGTGGCTAACTTGATTTTTTTGACTCTATAATGTTGTTACTTCTGCTTCTTCATTAAACATGTGGTTTGAAAAATACTTCTGCTTATAAGAGTTTGATGTTTGTTGCTTGGCTATTCTAGGTCAATTGGTTTTGGTTCTTGTGTTATTTGGATAAATTTACAATATATATATAGGGTGAAACCTTTTCAATTGCTATAAAATGAACCAATAATGTTAGTCTTTTTCCCTCTTTGTATCTTTTAGTATTGAATCTTGCATCTTATCTTTTGATGTACCTGCAGTTATTTGATGGAAAGGAAGGGAGACCCAGGTATCCTCGTCGATGGATAATATTGCCCCCATTCCTGTAGAAGCTGAAGCCATTTATGAGGCCACCGCTATGTGCTAACAGGATTCTGAGATTTAGAATTGTAGCACAATGAAATTGTAGTGATTTATTCTTATTAAGAATTTGTTTTTCATTGCTTTTGACTATGAACTTGGTTTCCAAATTATTGAAGCAGTGTTTTGCAGAATATTTGTAATCATTTTTATATGATAGTACTGGGGATAATTGTTACTTTAAAATCTTCATCTTGTGTTGATCATATTTGATATTGCCATTTTATTTTGGTTGGCTATGTTGGGGTGGGCACGTTTTGGTTTTCCATACGATACTAAACCGAACTGGTAAAATGATTCGGTTTTTAAATTGATTTAACAAAAATGCTTTGGTTTTTATATGGTGCGATTTGGTTTGATTTTTATGGGGGTTGGATAAGGTTCTTTTTTTTAGCTTGAATCTTAGCTCAGTTCAAAGAACCAAACTAGTTTTGAAAAATAATTTGGAAAATTGATTCGGTTTTTCAATTGGTTAAAAAAATAATTCTTTTGATTCAATTTGGTTTGATGTATTTGATTTAGCATCTACTTCTGAAATATGTAATGCGGCAATGTTTCATATTTTTCAATTCAGTCTCAATATTTGACACAGGTTTATGTGCATGTAGAGTTGATTAATTTTGAGGATAAATTTTTGTATTCTTAAAAGCAAAATCGTTTGTGCATCTTATCAGCATAAACTCAAAATCCGTAGTCCTCTTTGCTAAAATTGTTTTTGATCAGTAACAAATAAATTATTTATTCTATTTTTGGACAACAGAGAACTAAAATATCACACATTGCCTAATTTTCTTACATCTTGAAATTAGATGAGACAAACAGGACAATTGTTCAATGGTTGATTTCTCTCAATTTTTCGTTGTGGACAACTCTCATCTTTGGATTTGTACAGACGTAATTTATATTTCATTTGCGTCATCAACATTCTAAATCTATTGTGTTATAGATTCAATATATAGTCACTGAGTCTTAAAACAGATTGAAATCGTTGAATCAATAAAATAAAGATAAATTAGGTCCATACCATAATTTGCCTTTCTATCGAGGAATTTAGTCTCCATTTTGTGATCCACGCACATAACAGATCTAAAGTATCGAGTCCACAAAGTGTCACCTAGGTAATTTCAAGAAATCAGCTCTTGCCTTGAGGAATTGAAATTGTATCGTTCGCCTGCCGTTACCATAACCGACTATTTAAAGATCAATTTTCCCAATAACAGATTGGATTGTTTCTCTGCTCACATGTCTTCGGCAATATGTATACCATGTTCTTACACATTCCCACAGCACCTCTTGTAAAAAACACAAATCGCATGCTTATATAAGTACGAGGTAATAAAAAGTTACACGTATAGAACAAGGTGATGCAAAATTTCACACGAAATAGCTCAAGTCCCACCAACAGCCAACCAATAGTTTCATCCCCTCCAACTTACAAAATAAATAAATACCAGAGACAAAATGCTTGAAAATTGCTACCACCAAATCCTAGTTTTGATCAGATGAAGTTCCCAGAATCTCCATTACAATTTCATATCATCATTTGTAGATCCAAGATATGGCATTCTTCTAGCAACTCCAACTAGCAGAAACATACATGCAGTGGCCTTCGATGTATTAGACAGAGTCAATGCACGAGACAAAAGCCGACCAGTAAAGAACGCATTTTTCATCGTCTCCGCATTCCTCGTCCACGTCCACCACGGAAAGCACCTCCACGACCTCTTCCGCCCATGGCACTTGCAGCAGCCTCTCCTTGTGCACTCTCAGACTACATATTTTAAATAGAGAAAACAATCAAAACCAGCTGGATAACATAAGTTTCTCTAATCTCGATATGACATCAGATAAGCATTCATAACAAGCTAGAATAAAATAAGTGTAAAAAAATTTAGTTACACGGAAAAAATAAAAAAGAAATAGCCATACATAGTAGATATTCTGAACATAATTCTGCAGATCAATGTAAATTTTGAAGTCACATTATGCGACTCAAGTAGAACACTTGTAAGAATATCAACAAAAATTGTCAGCAAGCTATCGACCTCCACCTCTTAAGTATGCAACTTATTAGGTAAAATATAAAAATAGCTTCAGTTGTCCTATTAACATTGGACCCTGAAGTATTTTTAATTGCAATCAACAAAGGGGCTCTTGAAAATATTATTTGGGCGGGATACATGGAAAGATATCAACCGAATCCAATGGTTATGATAATCAGATATTATCAATAGGAATTGGGAAGTATATCAGAAGACCTAAGTCGGGTACAACTACTTCATTGGTGCAGTGTGCATATTACCGCTTCAAGACTTCAACAACAAATGAATAATAGAGGAAACAGAACTGGAGCACAATAAATTTGAAGCACTACCAAAAAATTTGGGTTACCTCATGAAAGGGAACCTTTTTCAACTTTATAAAAGGAATAAGGGCAAGTTAGGAAAAGGAACATAAAAATCTCCATTCCAGTTGCCTACCAATAATGGCATTCCCACATCTTCAAGAGAGAGGATATTGATTCCGGTCTAAAGAATCCAGGTGAGGAATGCAATCATAATTCTATCCTTTTTCTTACCAAACTAAGAAATCCCCATCCATACGGAGTAGGAGGAACTAATCACCAGTGAACAGCATATGATTTTCAAAGTCCAAGAAATGTGCACAGACAAAGTACCATGACAACTAGTACTCGTTACTCAAACAAATAATGATACATGAAAATGCTTAAAAGCGGCAAAACAAGTGTAGAACATTTGGATTGCATGTGGACATGTGCAGAGCAGTGATGATGTGAGTTATGTGACACTGCACAGATCCAAAGGTAAATTTATATCGACTTACACTGTCAAAAGTACAAAATCCCCGACAAAACAAATTAAGTCAACAGGAAAAAAAGTTTAAAGTGAAATCTAAATATGCCTAATATAATAGATCATTGATTCCTTCAAATTGTGCAAGTATTCGGGAGATATATTACACAACAAAAGAACCATTTAAATCAAATATAAAATGATAGAACTAGTCAGAAAGTTACCTTGGGATTTTTAACTGTTTCATCAACACTTAAGATAAGACACGCAGCCTCTGTAGCAGCATTTATAGCATTGATCTGCAAATTTATTAATTAACTCAGACACTATCCCCATAAAACACTAGAATCAGAGAATAACATAACACAGATAAATGATGGCAGATACCTTCACAACTGCAGGCTCCCAGACAAAGTTAGCAAAAGAGTCAGCAATTCCACCAGTGGCTATGTCCACCCCATAAGGTGCCCCCTCACCTGTAACAAGCAAGCAATGACTCTAGATGAACTCAACATCTTTGCGAGCTATTTGGTTAAATGAACAATTTATAACAAATTTTTCAAACAAGTGTCAATATTTTTTAGGAGACAAACAAAGTAGCAAACTATTTTAAGGTAATTCTATTTGTAAGTGTATGAGGGCAAGCTTGGAGCAATACTAAAGCTGCTCCTTTGTGACTGAAAGGTTACGAGTTTGAATCCAAAAAACAACTTCTTTGAAAATATGTAAGGGTAAGGCTACATACAAGGATTGTCTTCACCCCTACCCTCACTAGTTGGGGTTCAATGGGGAGTGGTTTAATTCTACTTGTAAGTGTGTATGTATTGGTTGTGTTCATGCATGTGTAAAAGTATGCAAATTAGTTTTTTAAATATTCACTAGTACTTGAACTCAGCCCATATAATCAAACAAGCCAAGCTTTAACACAACATAAGCTCCAACTTGAGCTCAGTCAGTACCTTTAATTGAACAACTTAGTATCTAAGTATTTAACTAGGCTTGGCTCAACCGCTGCCCCACTTTTCAGTAGCTTTGCATGTAAGTATATGTTAGCATGCATGCAAGTAATTTTGTGCAATACATATATGTAAGGAAGCATGCATATACAAAGAATGCCAACCAACCAGAAGGAAGCGCATGTTTCTGCCTCAGTTTATTCAGCACATCAGTTGCATCAAATCCAGCATTGTCACATAATTGCCGAGGTATAACCTGTAATAACACCAGAACTTATTGCATAACTCTACTCTATGATCAGCAGATAATATCAAACCCTTCATGCCTTATTTCCCGAGCTAGTATGCATGTTACACCAGATTCAGAGGAAAGCAATTTCAAATGCAATGAAAGCTACACTGTTCAAAATCAATGACCATACCAATGCAGCAATTTTAGGTTGAATTGCAACATGTAAAACACATGCGCAAGAAGCTCTTTGCTCCCACCCCCTTCCCCCACAGCAATTAAGGATCATACTCATATTTCAAACACACTTACCTCGAGAGCTTTCGCATATGAGTTAATGAAGAGCTGAGCCTTCCCAGCTATTGTACGTGCATGCTGTCTCAAGTATCGGCTTATCTCCATCTGCCAACAAGAACCACATTTTAACGTCCAACACATTCATTAACATATTTCAATGAGATCTACCAACAAAAATTGGGACACATACATCTATAGCACCTCCACCAGCAACTACAGTTGAATTCTTCAGAGCCCTTCTAACAATCATGATTGCATCATGCAAACTTCGCTCTGCTTCCTCTATGAACTATAAGAGAATAGCGAAAATAAAATATAAGCACAACAATGGCAAATTTATTAAAAGAGTTTTATTACAAGCTACATAAACAGTTATTGCACAACCTCTAACAGACCTGATCAGCTCCACCACGAAGAACTATGGTGGCTGTTAGGCCAGATGGACATCCGCTGAATATATTAAACCGCTCATTTCCAACTTGTCTTTCCTCAAAAACCTCACAAGTTCCAAGGACCTTTAAGCAAATAAATCACAAAATTCTCAGCTGTAATATATAACATCATAAAAAGAGCAAACCATGACAGAATCCCACAAATAATGTACAACCTCATCAATAATGTTATTGACAGATGTTTGAACAGTTCCACCGGTTGCAGCAGTAACCCTTTTTAGATCTTCTTCTGTTACACGACCAGCACAGAAAATGTCTCGATCTGCAAAATACTGTTTCATGGACAAGTTATTTTTTTAAAAAATAATAATAATTATGAATATGCTCAAAAATTTTAAGAAACCCAGTAAAAAATAATAATTTTCTAGCATTATCATGAGCAGTTAATAAGGATTATGTCAATCTACATTTCAGCA